TGTCACTAAATATGCCTCCACCGCCACCAGTAATTAGCGAATGTGCCTTGTCGCCGCTGCAACAAAATTCCGCTCCATATTGTTCCAACCTCCTCCACCCCCTGTTGCAGGATTTATGCCAGCTCCAGATGGTGCCATGACCATCAAAAGGAAAGTACCAACAAAATACAAGCTTCCCACATTAAATTGGATAGCTTTGAAACCAAATCAGGTGAGAATAGCATTTCCTTTAGAATTAATTAGCTTGACGATATTGTGGTTAGGTCCGGGGAACAATCTTTAATGAGCTGGACGATGAAAAGATATACAAGTTTATTGATTTCAATGAATTTGAAGAACGTTTCCAAGATCGGCGTTGGTGGCGGTTTATCTACAGGAAACAGTTCGGAAGTCGACGGAACACTCCAATCGTATCCCAGTAAGAGGTTCAAGAAACCAGACAATATATCTTTGCTGGAACATACAAGATTGAGAAACATAGGTACAACATGCTTAACTAATGCTACCACAAAAATTTATTTTTATGTTTAATCTATCGTTATTTACAGCGATTTCTCGCCGAAAACTGGACATGCCGATAGATGAGGTAATTTCAGCTATACACAGCTTTAGACTTAAAAAAATTGTCGCTTGAAAATGTCGAGCTGCTGCAAAAAATGATTCCAACCGACGTAGAAGTAAAAGCCTACAAGGAATACATAATCGAAAGAAAGGACCAAAATCTTCTAACGGATGAAGACAAAATGATGCTTCAGCTTCCAAGGTCGAACGAATCTCTTCGAAGTTGTCTATAATGAATTATATGGGAAACTTTTTTGATTGTTTGCATTTAATATGTCCGGTAAGTTGCTAGAATATGTACAATGTATTGAAGTAATTTTGAAACTCTATTCGTATTTAGCAAATACAATCCATAACTTCGGCGTCAACTTCCCTCAAACAATCTCGAAAATTCAAGGCAGTCCTTGAAATTGTGTTAGCTTTGGCAACTATTGAATAGCCGTAAGAGGGGACCTGCTTATGGGTTCAAGTTGCAATCGTTGGACACATTAATTGATACGAAGTCGACCGATAAGCGTTCGTCATTGCTTCATTACATCGTTGCAACCATACGACAAAAATTTCCTGAGCTACTGAATTTCGAAACGGAATTGTATTGTACTGATAAAGCGGCACAGGTCTCTCTGGAGAACATTATAACTGACGTTCATGATTTAGAAAAAGGGATGGAATTGGTAAAGAAGGAAGCCGATCTGCGTGTGAAAGGAACTCAAACGCACATTTACGAGACTTCCTTAACAACTCCGAAGATAAACTGAAGAAAATTAAAATCGAATTGAAAAATGCCCAGGAATCGTTCAAGGAGTGTGTGGAGTACTTTGGGGAATCGTCACGCAATGCGGATGCGGCTGCATTTTTTTCTTAATAGTTAGATTCACCCGGGCATTTAAGGTAATTTACAATCCTCCGATTTATATATATATGTGTATCTTAAGGTAATAATATAAATGTTTAGGCCTACGATCAAGAAAACGAACAGAGAAGAAGACTGGAACAGGCTGCTGCTGCTGCAGCATCTAAAAGGAAAGCGAACAGGTCCAAATGAGGAACAAGTGTAACCAGAAGAAACAACAGGTAACTATTTTACGAAGCTTTTCACCAAACGTAGTAGATTGCCTGTTTTCACTTAATCATTAATCACCATTGTCTCCATAAATACAATTCATTAGAAACTTGGTTGCGTGACTATGGAAAGCGGCTTATTGCATAAAACGCTCATTAATTTGGCCTGACGGATTGATTATTAGTGGGTGTGCATCCGGTTAATTTTATGTAGACTAATTGGAAAAAATCTTTTGTTGGTGGTGGCAGTGGGACAAATCTAATTGATTGCGGAAAAAGTTATTGGCCTTCGTCTATCACTTTAATTTTCGTCATCTGCTATACAATGATAGCACAATCAAAAAATAAACAATCAAGTTATAATTTGATAGAAAAGAAAAACATATATCCTTTCGCCCTCGTCGATCGAAAGCGTCGAATTTCAACTAAGAAAGATATTTTCTGACATTTGTATTGTCCAACATCAGTACAGCAAGCGTTCGAAAAATACAGAAAGGGAGTCGTCCCGGCCACTTTAAAGTCAGCATATCAGACTCCATGTAAGTGACTTGTACGTGAGTTGTGTTGAAAGTAATCAATTTATTGTTCTCCAGCTTTTTCTATTATTTCAATTAGTGTAGAAAACATTAACTAGATTGTTTGCCCTTAACATTTCCAAAGTCATGCAACGACTACACAAAAAAGTGCATTAGTAGCTTCGTTTTCTGTTAATCTCTTGTCTGCTTCGTATAGGTTGTGGACTTTTACTAATCCATGTGCATTTTATTTTCTTCTTTCATTTACACATTCTTTCATGGACATTAAAGCTTCCTGCCGGGATATGTCCTCCAGGACGCCGTAATAAACGAACTGAAATGTAAAGCCATTTCAGTTCGGGAAAAGAAGCTTTTACTGCAGGACGAAGTTTACAATGGAGCGCTAGAAGACATCCTACTTGGCCTAAAGAGCGAGCCGTATCGTCGAGCAGATGCGGTTCGTCGCAGCCAGCGCCGGCGTATTGATAATACCGCCTTTCACGGACTCTCGAAGAGCTTGACGTTTAAAATACACGTTAAAACATTTATACCAGTATCAGCCCAATATTTTTACGTTTTGCCAGACGCATATATTGGACTCCAAATAACCATAGTTGTAAGAATCGAAACTATTTCGATATAAAATTTTATAAACCTATCGAAGATGCATTTTTATAATAACGACTGCGAACGAGTTGTTGTATTTTACATTCCCACATTAGATTGCAATAACAACCAAAAACGAATATTTTACGAGGCATTGAGCCGTCTTATATAAGCTAACTGCATTTTTATCAAACTCATCTTTTCACACATACGTTGAATCTCCTAGAATACATAGCATATGTTCATTATATTTTGCGAAATGAAAAATATAGCAAAAAATAAAATAAGTATAGTTTTTTATAAGCAATTTTTGTAGGTTTTTTTACACAATTTATATCGAAATTATATTAAACCAAATAAAAAGGAAAATAATAATAGATTTGCATGTGAAACCTTATTAACAACTAATTAATTACATGGGATGACACATTTATTGATTCTATTTTGTTGTATGTGTATTATTTATGTTTACTGTTTAAAACGAATATGTTTATTGTTTTTAAATCTTTTTTTTTAATTACATGTATATACATATATAAGTTTGTTTTAAGTTTTTTATTATTCCATAAAGATCAAATATTAAAATTGTCTGCGTAATCAATATTTTTTTTAAATATTGGTATAAAATTCTACTGAATTTTTTTTTTTTGCTCAGTCCAGAAAATGGCGCTAACTTGCGAAAAAAACTTATTACCGAAATTGCAAGCATTTTAATTTTAAAGATTTTTGTTGGTAACTCATATTATAAGTTAGAGAAAGTCATTACTGGTGATAACTGCTCAGTTCCAGAAACTGCAAGAATCATCTATGTTTGCAATTCTTTGATATCATAAACGGGAAAATCGGTTATGCCTAAGCGGATATGTCCGCTTCTTTTCCAAATTATACAAGTTTCAAATTGAGTTAAATAGCGCGATAGATGATAGAAATACTTTATGTGTTTTAAAAAATATGATCCATACTCTTTAATCTTTCAATTACATGACAAAACTGTTCGATTCTGTTCAGTGTTATATGTACATACATAAATATCCTGTTTTTGATCGGCCCAAACGTTTTTTTAGACAATGGTTTGGTTTATTTTTCATTTCCTTTATATCATACAATTTAATATAAATTAGGCAACATGGCCAAGCAACAAAATATAAAAGAACTAAATACAAACTATATATTTATGTAAAAAAAGTTAAACAACAATAGTCTTTCAGACACAACTCCTCCACCAAGCTGAGCAGCCGTTAAGCAGGCGGAGAGGAAAAAGGCAAGAGGCATCAATAGTCGCATCGACACAGATGCTGTGAAAATGAACTGTCAAACTAATTTTGAAATTGAAAATTTGAATTAAAAATTTATTGATATTCGTAAAAATTGTTGAAAAATGGATATCATAACAACCCACGATTTGTGTCGTATAAGAGAACATATAAAAATCTACTAATTTTTGTCAAAACATTTTAAAATTATTGACATATCAATGTTCCCAAGCGTTGATGAATCTACCTGCATGCATCAATACATTTCGGAGCTAATTATCACTCGTTTTTAAACGAGCGAATGTAGCACCTAAATGTACTGATGCCTCTTGCCTTGCTTCACGGTTCAGTTTAATCCCGCTTCGGCCCGGAACAGGTTAGCAGCCATGGTTACTACACACAAAAATTGGCAGAAATTAGAAAAAAAAAATGTAGTAAGCTTGTGGTTACCTTTTTATTGTACCATGGGTAATGCGAGAGTAAAAAATGATTGATTATGGTGAGAAAGTGAAAGCACGCAACGCAACCATTTTGGTCGGAGCCATACGTTCAACTTTTGTGGTGAAAAATGTCGAAGGCGCATGTCGGATATTAGGTAGGCGTCTCAATCAGACCACACTAATATAAACAAGGTAACTTTATGCAGTCATATGTTTCCAATTGTTTAAGAATTATGGCTTAAATTAACGTTCGTAACTCTGTTGTAGTTTTTGCAATTGTTTGAACACCTATCTCACTAGACAAAATTTATTCTTTTGGTAACTTATACATGAACTCAGTTGTTTTGTCTTTTATCGACGATCAATAAAAATGTGAGCAAGCAAGCTATTACTATTTGTTAGTTTTTTTATAGATCCAAGCTAAATTCAATGTGTGGCATAGCACTTAGTAATCTGTCGCCTAGAAAATCGTCCGACTCCGTTGTCTGGCAAGACCCAGTCCGCCATTATGCTTCACACATTTTCATCGACCATTCCTCCTTGTCTTCGTTTTTGTGTGGTTCGGATCGCTTTTGAATTCAGTTGGAATAATTTTACAAACTATACGCATTGCAGTTTTATCATCAAACTTTTCAATTTTTTCGAAGTAGGAGAGAAATCAATGTCAAAAGAAAAAATCTTTAACAATACACAAAATACACCATAATAATGGTATCGATATGTGAGGTATAGAACAACAATTATCCGTTCCAGCGAGCTAGCTAGCAAAGGCTTCGACTCAATTTGCTCAATTTCTTTCTCAAAAATAAAATATTGGAAAATTGTTCTTTTATTAAATTTCAATCTTGGTCGCTCAGAGTTTGCTTGAATATCTCCCATGGAAAATATCGACAAAATTAACGTTATATAAAAGGGTAAGTTATTGTTTTAAAAATAGAAAATATAGAAAATAGTGCAGAGTATTTGTGCATACAGTCGAATGCCACTTTGTTGTCTGTCGTTGTCGTTAGTGCCATGAATATTGAATATTTTGTGTGTATACACTGGCACTACTGACACTGTTTACATTTGTCGGTCGTCAGCTGTGGAAATTCATGGGACTTGATTCAATTTGGATTTTTATGGGCGTGCTTGGTTGGATTCCCAAGTTATTGCGGAGAAATAATACTTTTTGTCACTTAATTTTTTATTTTGAATTGTAGCGAGTTAGCAGCGCACCTGTCACAGAAGCAGCGTGCACTGAAAGGTAAGAGCGGAGGGAGAGAGACAGTTGAGAAGCTGTCGTCGTTGGTGTTTTTTCAAGAGACTCAAAATTGATAGAAACAACAAAAAAGCTGCTGCAACTGGTGCCTCTGCCGAGGACCAGCCGCCGCGCAAAAAAGGACGACGTTCAGCAGCAGGGGGTGCCACATCATCAGCAGCAGCAGTAACATTGTCTGAAAATTTCACTGGGTCAAATTTGAGTGGCGATCAGGCCAGTTCATTGTTCTCGGGAGACACTGAAACGGCGACAACTTCAAGAGCCGCCGCAGCTGCACAACAAGAGCGAATACGCAATCAAAATAATCGCGAAAAACAGACAAAAGGTGATTCAGCAAATCAAAAAGCAAACAATAACACCAATAACAAAGAAAACCATCAAGCAACGGAGAACAAACAACTTGGACAGCAGCAACACCTCTGCAATACAGTCAACGATACAGAAAAAAATCGAGGGTAAATATGGATAATGTTGGAATGATCCCTTCCACATCTGCGGCTATTGAAACCGCATCTGGTGTCAGTAACCATGGAAGTGACTCATCGCCTAACATTACCAATTCAACAACAACTAATGGCCACGATTCTAAACATAATGGGTTCACTGCCAGGGATAACAACAACACGACAGAACCTTCCAATACACGCGACGATCAGAACAACCAGAATGAGGCGAACAACACGATCTCTTGGCTCGGAAAATCAAACCAAGAAATCATAAGACTCATTGGACAATATTTACAGGACTTGGGTCTCGAGAAGTCGGTCAACACATTGATGTCTGAATCCGGTTGCTACTTAGAACATCCATCTGCAACTAAGTTTCGCGAACACGTCCTTTCAGGGGAGTGGAGCAAAGCAGATGCAGATTTAAAGGTAAGCCTTTTACTTATTATTGGATCATGTTAGGTTATTTCCATCATACATACTAACAAACTGAATACGCCACACATAAAAATTGTTAAATGGTTTAAAAATTAACAAGAAATGAGAAGGCTAAACATTATGATTCCAAAACGTGTACAATTTTCACCTGAATACGCCGATTCAATGTTTTTTGGGACTCGGTGTTGAGTTAGACATGTATAAGATGTCCAAATTTTTAGACAGTTAATTTAGTATGAAAAATAATAAATAATTGCTATACAGATCTATGCCGAAAAAGCTCCTAAAAGTCTTCTATATACAGAAAACTTCCGTATGTTGCTAATACAAAGAAGACAATTCAGTGACAAATTATAATTTTAAAAATGGTATGCCAAAAAGGCGAATTTAAGAAATATAAACTTTAGATATTCAATTCTCAACACAACACGACCCTAAAACTGCTCAGTCATATTGCCATACAAAAATATAATCATTTAAGAACTACGATTCATTGTTATTCCATTAGAAAAACGAAATGAGAATGCGTTATAATATAAACATTTTCAGGAACTGGAACCGCTTATAGACAATGGGAAACCATCAACCATAACTGAAATGAAATTTATATTATTGGAGCAAAAATACCTGGAAAATCTTGACGATGGTTGTCCTTTGGAAGCTTTGCATGTTTTACGAAATGAACTTACGCCGCTACAACATAACATTTCGAGGGTTCATCAGTTGTCCTCATATATGATGTGTTCAAACAATCACGATCTTTACCAGCGTGCCAAATGGGAAGGTAAGGGAATATTATCCCGAGCCCTTGTAATGGAACGCTTACAGACATATTTGCCTCCCTCTGTTATGATGGCTCCTAGGCGTTTGCGATCCTTACTGCAACAGGCAGTTGAGTTACAGACACAAAATTGCATGTTTCATGATATGGCCTGGGAAACTAATCTGCAAAATGTATCTCTGCTAACGGACCACTGCTGCGCCACCGATGGGTTTCCACTCCAAACAATTCAAATATTATCAGATCATTGCGACGAAGTTTGGTTTTGTAAGTTCTCACCTGATGGCTTGAAGTTGGCTACTGGAAGCAAGGATGGTGCGGTTATAATCTGGGATGTCGATCCCTATAAATTGCAATTGAAGCAACGTCGAGTTCTGGACAGTCAAACCCAAATGAGAGTTGCTTTCATCAATTGGAGCCCCGATTCGAAAATGATATTGGTCGGCGGACCTGAAGACTCTACGGAAATATGCATTTTTAATGTCGATGATGGCCGCCTAATGATGAAAATGGATAACATGAACCAAGAAGATAGCCTATCCTGTGGGGCATTCAATCGTGATGGAACCAGGTTCGTCTGTGGTGGACAAAAGGGACAGTTCTACCTATGTGATCTCAAGGGTACAGTTCTCGATTCATGGGAAGGGGTGCGGATCAACAGCGTAGCGTACAGATCGGACAATAAAACTATATTAGCTGCAGACAACCACTTTCGGATCCGAGGGTTAGTAAATAATTCACATATAATTAAATGAATCTTATATCCTGATTTTCTTTCCTTTTGTGTAGATACAACTTTGAAAATCCTCGGACAGATTTCGATGTATTGAAGGAATCACACCCAATCATGACTTTTTCGGTTAACTCCGCAGATCGTTTAGCACTGCTGAACATTTCAAATCAAGGTCTGCATTTGTGGGACTTGGAGGATAAATGTCTATTGCGTAGTTTTCAAGGTATTCGTCAAAGCAAATTTGCTATACATTCGTGTTTCGGAGGAGTCAATGAAAGCTTCGTAGCCAGCGGAAGCGAAGACAAACATGTTTGCATTTGGCACATAAAAAGAGAAGAACCATTGGCCAAGCTGTCGGGTCACGCAAAAACAGTTAACTGTGTCTCTTGGAATCCCGTTTATCCCTCCCTATTGGCCTCAGCCAGTGACGACTCGACCGTTCGCATTTGGGGTCCCACATCTACACACAACATAAACGCTACACCCGAGAGTGATGATTGCTCTTCGTGTTCATCTTCTTCGTCGTGGAATATGACCTCCTAGAGCATAACAACGGAGATGTCGGACGTCGTTTTAGTGAAAATATCTGGACCCCTTTTGTCATAAGATATTTAATATTTTTGTTTTTAAGTACTCTATCACGCAAATTATAAAATTGCTTCTAGTTAATTGTGATTTAACTAAATTTATTATCGGTAGAGGACCGGTTTACTGATCGCAGTGAAGTTCATTCGGAGACGTGCTGTATCATCCATCACTATTTTCTTTCGAAATCTTTTAATTTTGTAACAACGAATTAGGTGATTTCGTGTTCCATCGCCTCGACACAACCTCGTGAATTGTGTTAATAATTTGTTGTTGCAGAAATTATTCAGCTTTTTAACAACGCTCTTCTTTTTGAGAATGTGCTAAAGAATTATCGAACCTCTACCGTGAAATACTGTCCTATATCTGCCCAGGACAGTGTAATTTAACGAAACGAAACACAGTTTGCAAGACTGCAGGTTCCTTGGGGTAGGGGAGAGAGAGCCCACGTGAAACTGCACCAATAAAGAGGTCTGCCATCATGTGTAAGGGTATACTTGAGATATTTTACACAATTTGCATATATACCATCAATGTGATTCGAGAATATAGAAGTATAAACATATATAATATAGAAGTAGTTTGATTTGTTAAGTGATCACATAATTTGAAATATTCTAAGCTGGAACAACATAGGTATATAAGACTTATTTTTAAACCAATCGCTAATAACATACACGTTTATTTTAAAAATATAGAATCCATTCTGAAATCAAAAACGGTACACTCGAAAGTACCTGATATGTTTTATTTATTAATGGCGCTTAAATATCTATGGCAAAATACTGTGTCATCAGATATTCCTTAAGAACATATATAGAAATCACAACCACTGTCGATATCACAGGTCGACACCGACTTACTACAATATACACGGAAACTAGTGCACACAAATGATGAGCTGTTACGAAGAATCGATGAAGCGATGCACCAAACTCTGTAGTGTTCTCCCGCCAGAGCATAATCGGCAATAGGAAGAATTTAGAAAAGTTTGCGAGTGCGTAAGCTTTCATCATCAGGTAGCTACTATCCATCACGCTAAGGCCGGTTGGTTTCGATCCCAAAGTAATATTTGCAATTACCATTAGCATTGTGCAAAGCAAAAATTCTGCAAAGAGGAACGACAATTGGGAAACCCATAGTTAATCTGTTTGAAACTTACCGCCGATTTTATAGGCACAACAATTATAGAATCCATGTTCATATGGTGGTGAATCGTTGTTGGCTATTTTCAACTTTCGCTCGTTTTCCCCCCTCCACAAGGTTAGCGATTCGAGCAATAACAATATCAGCGACAACTTCCAAAACAACTGCAACGAAACAGGTAATATAAAATAAGCCGTTATCTACTGACTATCCCAGCTATCTGAATATGCCAATGTTCAGCGATGTACCTTAAAATCTCGGTTATGTAGTGCATGGCGGTAAGATGAGTGGGATAGCAACATGAAGTCAACAATTATTATGACAGGTTCGAACTCTATATATTTATCTGCGGTTTTGTGACATTGGTCCTGAAAAGTAATTTCTTATTAAACCATAAATGTTCGTGTCTTAGTCAAATGTTTCCAAACGCTGCATATAAGATTAATTTATTCTATAAATCCGGTAATATGTTAAGCCACTGTTCGGTATTGACCCCATTGAAAAATTGTAAGTCCAACTGACGAAACAATTCGAATAGGGTCGTTTCAATGTTTTTCTAAATTCAATAATTTTATTGAATACAATTCAATAATTGCAATAAATGCAATGGATTTGTAACGCATAACATTTACAAATATTCAAATGTTCAATATCTTCAGTTCCATATGAGATATCGGAAATATTAATCAAAATAATGAGATTATAAGCTTATCAAAAACGGTCTGTTAAGGCAACGAATTTATTCAATATGAAACTGGTATCACGTTAGCCGGTCCAGTTGGAATCGTCCCCTAAAATTGTGTAGAAGTTTTCAATTTTGATGTGAAACCAACAAATCAATTATATTAGATTTTCATACTTGTACGTGTATTAATTTATTGCATTACTATACTTACACAGTTAATAGTTTTAATTATTTTATCATACTTCTTGTATAGATTGCTTTGTCTCTTCCCGCAATTTATGCAGACATAGCACTCCATTTCCACTTCCTTCATCGAATTTGAAGCAAACGTCATACAGCACACGACGAAGAAACAAATACCCAAGACAGAATTGGAAACTACGAGGCCTCTTAGAAATCCGACGCCGTAAAAGTTAGATGCAATGAGTTGAAAACATCAAAAAATTCAGTGTTCTGGAGATCGAAAACAGAGTTGGTCAAAGGATGTACGGCGTTTCCACGGCACTATTTTTTTTTTTTTGTTTTGAAATTTGACAAGGTAAATTACAAAAAATGCAGAGCAGGGAATGTTAATTTGAAATGAGGTTACCTTTATTTTAACATGTTTTTTTTTCGGGTAAGGTCATCGGTTGGGGGCTTTATTTAGACAACGGAACAGGAAATAAACATGGGATACAGTGTGGTATGTTAGCAAAATACAACTCTGCTTCAAGACAATTTTTCTTGTGTTGACGTCAGATTAGGTTCTTCGCTCGAACGTTGCCTCTTGACGTAACATGGCCCTGATTCTGTTCATTTCGATTAAACTTGGAGACTAAAAATTAGCAACTTTGAATAAATTTGTTTACCACGAATATTTTTGATTTTTTTTAACTTCATATATTAATGGCCCTTTGGGCTAGGTAACTGTGTTAATTTAATATAAATAAAAAATAAATTACGCTGAAAAGTAAATAATCGTATATGATGAGTAATTTTTGTTCACTTCTGTTATATGCCTGACCGTCCTATTCAAAACTAATAAACGAATATAAGGATCGTTTACGTTCATGCATAAAACGTTGCAAAATCTTAGGACTGATATATTTTTCATATTGTTATTTATTATATTTTTTATATATAAATATATAGAATAATTCGCTGATAATTTTTGTTATGTATTTAGTTTTTTAGATTAATCTAGTTATAGGATGTTTTTATATTGTTGTATGTTAATATAAGTTTTTGGCCATGTTGGCTTATATATATTGAATTGTATGAAATAATAATGAACCACCCTAACAATGTGCCTTATTTCTTGCATTTTGAAAATAGCAATAAGAATAGATAACTTCGTATTGGAATTGGTAAAAGGGTAGCAGTTATATTAAACCTAATCATTGATAAGAACAACATTGATAAGCGCTACTGGTGTTCACATTATCATTAATATTTTTGGCCATTTTCCGAAGACATACGTAAATATCAACATTAGTAAATCAATACTTAGTGTTTATGACGGACTGTTTGTCGTTATTTGTCATGTTCATATAAAAGAAAACAACTTTTCTTTCGGACTTCGTACAAGAAAGAATGGACATTTTGTTAAATCCCATCCTTGCTATCCTTTTTCTTTTTGAACTTATTGGAGATTGCTGTGTTTTTGGATTTGAGGATAATAGTTCCAGCATACTTGTTCAAAGTGACGCAGATCCATTTACGGTGGGGAGTTCATACGAAGAGTTCCATGTAGATCACACCTCAGGATATGAAGTCGAAATAGTGGAAAATCCACCTGAGACAAATCTGAACATTCTTTACAACTTTGAGCCATTAATTTCAAAACTTAACCATGATTATAGCTATACGTGCTTACTGGACGAATTTAAAAACACTTTGCTGTGGTGGACTTTTCCCAATGGAACACTTAAAAATAAGAGTTATATGCTTGCATGTATGTTGATTCCATGTTATTCGAATTTATAAACATGTATATAATTGGTGATAATTTTAGCGGCAATTAAATATCTGGATTTATCGCATCAACAAACATTCAGTGATGAGGAATTGTTAAAAAAGATCGGTACATTTGGTGTACCTGATGTACATGTTTCCGTTTTCTCAGCAGCCCATAATAACTTGTCCCACGTTCCATATAACGCATTGACTGTTATGTCCTTAGATCTGAAATTTCTTACACTAAGCGGCAATAACTTTAATGTTATGGTACCCGACTACGGAGGAAACGGTAAGTTTGTTAAACACAACTTGGGTGTAATCGAAACGGCAGCATTTTTAATGGGGTTAATTAACCAACATACTATAGGTTGCCTGATTTCTGTCCAATATGCTTTAAACCCTGTCATCGTTTTCATTATTTCTCTGTTATTCCACTATAGGAAAAGAAACCATTACATGGGCAACATTCCCGATTTTACCTACACTAAAAGAGCTGGATATAAGTAATTGCAAAATTCAACATTTAACGAGAGAATCTTTTCGAAATTTAACCAGCCTGACAAGGCTCTACATGTCCAACAATAAAATCCTAGAATTGCAATCCGATGTATTCCTCCACGTCTCGTTGTTGCAGTATTTGGATTTATCTTTTATGAATGTCTTTGATTACACGTCTATTCCAACACAAACACTTAATACCCTTTATAGGCAATTATACGGACTCAAAATACAGCAACTGACATTTAAACATGTGCCTAACCTTAAGTATTTAGATTTTTCACACACGAAGTTATCTAAAAACAGTGCTGTCGCTTTCACCCATCTCGGCAACAGTTTAAAATATCTCAGTCTATGTTACACCGCATTCCCCATGATTGGCAATGCTTTGTTAAGGAATACGGCACTTGTTGCCCTGGACATGTCAGGAAATTCTTTAGCTGCATATAATATAATCGATGATGCATTTGAAGGTGTCTCGGAGACGTTGAGTGTGCTCTTTTTTGAATTATCAAACTTGAAAAATATATCTTGGGTCCGTAACCTTAGTAACCTGCGGATACTAGGATTGGCCAATAATAATATAAATTCAATAACATTTGAAACATTCACTAATTTAACAAACCTAGAAGTGCTCGATCTCAACACAAATCACATAGGCAATTGGTATAGTCGAGTTTTCACTAATAACGAAAAACTTCGTGTCCTTAACCTCAGAGACAATAATATCAATATTATTACTTCAGAAATGCTTAAAGATTTTAGTTTATTAAATTTTTTGAGTCTTGGCGACAATAACTTTGTGTGTGACTGTCTATTAAGGGATTTGGTTGATGTTAGCAATTCAAATAATAGAAACTTGGAATGCGCTCACGAAATAATCCAGGAAGCTCTGGAGTATACATGCGACAACCTCTCTGAGAACAAAACAGTGGCCGATGTAGTAGCTTCACATACACTGAAAAGATTAAACAACAGAAGAAAAGGCGCATATCCTGTACAAAACATGAATCTGTCAGCAGCTTTTAGAAAACTTCGATTTCACTTCAATATGTCTGGGATGTATCCAAAAACGTGTTCCTCTGTTACTCCTCAAGCAAGCCCGGTAATGATGAATAAGCTTAACGAATCGACAATGTTGAAGTTGCAGCTTTTAGATTATGAAGATGCTCGTTATTGGTGCTTTAACGAAACGGAAAAATTGGGCTTTTTCGATCTGAACTGCCACCAACGGTCTCTTGTCGAAGATATAGTTCATCAACTTGATAACCTCACTTATTACGTTGTTGTGATCGTCGGAACATTACTGGCTGTTACTGTGGTCGGTGTAATCATTTATGTAAAGCGTTGGCACATATACTATTACTATTCTTCCATTAAATCCGCCGCTTTGATGTCAGAGGCTGTAAAAGAGAACGATGAGAGCCTTCGGTCCTCCCACGAAAATGGAGGCGTAAACATGATATACGACATATTTATTAGTTACTGCCAAAGTGATCGCGACTGGGTGCTCACTGAACTAATGCCCAATGTTGAAGATAATGGTGATATTAAGATTTGCCTGCATGAACGGGACTTTCAGGTAATGTATGTTTTTTGATATCGCATTACGCTATAACTAACTCAAGGGCTCAAATTTTAACTTTGCTTTGAGACCTCTTGCTTACAATACAACAAAATCTTAATTTATAACTCTTTAAGATCGGCGTTACAATTCTGGATAACATAATATCATGTATGGATAGGTCCCGTTCGTTAATGCTCATAATATCATCTTCATTCCTTCTTAGCCACTGGTGCCAGTTCGAAATGCACTTGGCACAGCGAAGGTAAATTGAGTTAGTAAAATATTTATTTTTGCATAATTTTATTGCCATTTCCAGGATGTTTGATGTGTGTAGAGATTGTTTGATTCTTGTCTTTTTGGAAGAAATACCAAGACATAAAAGACCGAAAAATTTGCAGTACCTAATGGATGTAAAGACATATATAAAGTGGCCAGGAGGTAAAAATAATAACAAATCCCGCCCAGAAGAATGCAGAATTTTCTGGAAGCGGTTAAAACGTTCAATGCAAAGAATTGCTTCTGATGGTGTTCAATAATGGAATTCGGTAAACAAGTAATACGATGCGATAACTTTCTAGTATATCTATGTGTTGTACTTAAATAAATGCGTGCCCATATACACCATCTTACCAAAATATGTACTGTTGCATAACCGTATTTCCAAAATTCACAAGGTCCCTATATCCATTAAATAAATGTGTTACGTAAGTTACACACCGTCTTGCAGCAAAACAGTTTGAAATAAATAAATTCAGTTTTCACACAAATAAAAAAGCAAAAATACGGAGGGTTAAAGGTACAAATGTTCAACTTTAGTAAAACCATGCCGGACTTCATATATTTATATTGTACAATGGCTAAAATAGTGCAACCACACATTTATTTAAGTATAGCCTTAGTATTTTTAAAAATAAAAATAATATAAAAGAGTGCGAGTAAATCCCAATATTTCGTTATATCTTTAAATGTTTATATGCACAGCAATATATTTTTAGGAAGAATGTACCTGATGTCCTCTCAATTCTTATTCGAGAAAAACTTAGTAGGCAAAGTAAATAATATTCAATTTTACGGAAATACTTGTTTTTATATTGTGTTGTGACTATGTTAGTACTGACGAGCATTCATTTTTTATTTAAGTATAAGTATAATATAAAAACTAGTTTATTTTAATTCCAGCAATATTATTATCCAGAATGTACCTGATATCTTCATAAATCTTATGCGAGAAAATCTTATTGCACATAGATTTAAACTTCTATGTTTATTTGTAGTTGAAAATGATGTTATAAATAAATTGGCAATAGCAATTTATAACGTAGACTGACTCCAAAAATGCCTAGTTGCACCTTAAAACGTTCACGGGGAAGAACATTACGAATTTTGAGATGTTAGAAAATGTCTGATAAGTTCGTGGATAAAAAACAAATGTGTAGGCCAAAACAATCACAGAAGAAATGACTACTGCTGAAACTACTGACTACTGTTAAAACAGTAACCTTCTTTTGAAAGCTTTGCACACCAGCTTATTTTTATTGTGTTCCCGTACATTTTAAGTGTTAAAACTAGTAAAATAGCTGATGACTTATACCAGAAATATTTATCAACTTTAGACATGTAAAACACTGGCAGGATATTCAGCCTCAATAAATCCTCCACCATTATAATTCTTCCAAAGTAATCCATAGCAGCTGAGTTCGACATATACCTTATAGGCCAAACACAGTCATTACTTTGCCTTATTTTCTACCTTTGGAAATGTCATACGATAAAAGAATGTGTTGGCTCTATTCAAGATACAATCATATGATCAAATTTGAAAACCATTACTCTATAGCTGGTGTCTTGCAAATTCAGGTAAATATGACTATGGACGGTATAATAAAATGTATTGTGATTTGTCAATTCTCACGGTTAAATGTGAGAATATATAGAATGATTTTTTTCTGGCGTGGGAAATCGACTGGATTTTCCCAAAAACACAAAGGAGTTTTAGATTGACTTAGTTCAATTTCGGCCCAAAGTTTCACTAGATCACCCTTTGTTCTTTTAAGAAAGAAAGCTGATAGCTATACAGAAAAAAATCCATTATTTGTTTCTGTTAGAAACCATTAGTAGAGCAATATGATGTGTTCAGTAATATTTACCCGGCGTGTTCTTTTTAAATAGTACGAACATGAACCTGGTCCAAACTTATCTTAAAACGCCTAATTAAAACAGATCGAAAGAGCAAAATCTTACTGGTCATTTGTTTCCCAGTGATACACAATATAAGATAACATCGAATTGTTCATGGTAGAAGAATATAGGTAGATGCATTAACGCATAGGAACATTGATATGTCAACATTTTAAAAATGTTTTGTCAAAAATAAGTAGTTTGTATATGTTTTCTTATATGGCGCAAATCGGAGGTTGACATAATATGTATTTTTCAACAATTTTTACAAACTTCAATAATTTTTCATTCAACATTTTCAATTTCAAAATCAGTTTGACAGCTCTTTGTCCCAGCAGCTGTGTCGATGCGATTACCTTTATTCTTCTACCATGGAATTGTTTCAAAATATTTAGTGTTCAGACAGGGTTATACTTTACTATTTTTGTAAGTTTATACTAAGTTTATACTTTAGCAAAGCAATTGCCAATTTTTTCGTCACCTGTCAGATATTTTCTTCGGCGATCTGGAGAGACCTACTTTCTTCGAGTGCAAATCAGAAAGAAATTCAACTTTTCACTCGTCATTCCCAACAACAAATCTTCGAGTGGAAAGGAGAAAGAAATAAAACTATGTCTTATTCTTTGTTAATTCCACCCCTTTTCGATCTATTGTTTTGATTTTCATCTTCATTACACATTCCGCTTTGCCCTCATTTTCTCTTCGTATCGTTTTCGATTTATTTCTTTTAAGAGGGAGAACAGACAAAATTGCCTGGAATAAACAAACGAGACAAGACGCTACGAAAATGTCTACTCCCAGAAAAAATAAAAATTATAATTGCTACACATCGCCCTATTCAAAGCCCATTCAACAGTATGCATCCCAAAACGACGAATACATATCATTGGAAATGGGAGGGCGATGTCAAGAAGGTAGAGATGTCACAAACAGTGGAATTTATGGAAAGAAACCTAACCAACGACGAGCGAATTACTCAAGTGGGTACTACCAGAACAACAATTTAAAGAGTGGGAGTGGGCAAAAGTCGTGGTTCACCCCAAGAAAAAATGCAGAAATTGGTAACTCCCAGGTACGTATATGATCATAATCATATGGAAAACGAATATTTATTTATCTAGTTTTAAACAGAGCCACACTTCGTCCATTTCTTTATACCTACATCCATCAATGACGGAAGACCCTTGGTCAGATTTATTGGCACGCCTAGAATGTCTTAATAAAAGTGAAATTACCTTAAAATCTCAGACGAAAGTGGAGGACACAGTTGATGAAGGAGATAAAGATGAGCTGATCGTTCAATAGCAATAAATATGGGGAGGAACAATATCTTAGGATGTATATCCTAACAAGACCCTTATATTAAGTTACATATTTTTAGAAATACAACTAGATATTATGAATATAAGCACATTATTGTGTTAACTATATAAAAATTCTATTTTTAGTAATTTGAACAAGAGCAACACATGAAAAATATTGTCACCAATGAATGAAAAAGAAAAAAAATAGAAAATTGCCTTATTATATTTTGCAGGTTCAGTAAGGCCGATGGCCTATTCTATCTAATTTAAAAGATTTGCAGTTCTTCGCATATGGAAGTAGTGGAAAGTAGTAGGCAATAAAAAAAGATGATCATAGATGTACTCTGGGCCAGTTTACGCCTTTTGGAAATACAATCAAATCAAACTGCAACACATGATTGTAAAATATTGTAAACTTTTCATTTAATCATCAATGAATGAAAAAGAAGAAATATATAAAATTGCATTGCTATGTTCCACAGCTTTAGAACGGTCGATGCTCTATTTTATCTAATTGCAAAGAGTTCCAGTTCTTCACATATGGAAGTAGTGGAAACAGTTGGCAATAAAAATAAAGATGATCATAGAAGTACTCTGGGCAAGTTTACGCCTTTTAAAAATACAATCCAATGTTATAAATGGGAGTCTATCATTTTGTTGACACAAAATTCTATATTAAACAATTTGAATAAATGCAACATCACAACTTATGTATGAAATGACGAATTATTAAATGATATTGTTTTGTTTTTTTTTTTTTCCACAGCTTTAGTAAGGCCGGTGACAGAGTACCGTAGCATTGAAAAATGATGTGCTCTTTAATATTACAATTTCCTGTGTTGGTGTCTCCTTAGATATGCTTCCCAGTCTTTACTTAAACGGTTGTATATATGCATTGTAGCACGAGCATCTTCAACAGAGTTGTGTTCACCAGTCTGTATTTCTTGTCCCAAAATTGCTTGGCTCAGCCGTTTAAGGCTTGGTGTCCGACCATTTGCAACTAAGCGACATAACGGCTTGTACCTAGCAGTGTCCCGAATATTCGAAAATGGATGTTTAATGTGCAAAACTGACAAATCATTTCGGATCGCATGACCAACAAGTATTTTACCTAAATACAGAATTTGTTATTAGATCGTGATCGTATACAAGAAATAACATTTACAGCATACCTTGCAAAATTTTTACCACTTCATTCTGCACATCCTTAAACTCTTCCCCGTTCTCTATATCATGAGGTCGAATGCCAGAAATACTTGTTCTATAGTCAGTCACGGCTTCCTGTGGCTTTACGAATTTGTCAATTATAATTTCACCGTTTTTATTGACAATTGAGACCCTGGCAAGCATATCTTCTTGACCGTTGAAACCAACTCCAACCATTTCGCAGTCCATAGCTACATATTTATTCCATTGATTTGTTTTTCTCTTTTGCCGTAGACGTGCCGACTTACTGAGACCAGCTGGTGGCTGGACTTTTTCGTCGTCCTCATTTTTTCCTCCACACACATCCTGTTCACTGCCGCTTGCAGACGTAGTCCGGATTTGTCGCATCGCCTCCCAATTTGAGCCAGCTGCACTTCGACTAACATTTACGTTCTGTACGTTGTTATTCTGTACTTGGAGCCTTTCCATGGACGTATGCAGGGGCTTCGTTTGTTCCTCTTTTTTATCGTCTAAACTAACATTTTCCGACTCAGAAGACATTTTCTTTCTATTTCTTCTCTTTTTTCGTTTGGGAACAACCTGATCCTGACAACCTGACATGCTTATTTTGTTATTATTCCTGTTTTTCAGGGTACGTTTCAGTTGATGTTGATTGGAGGTGGCACGGTTCGTCGTGTTTCTTTCTGCAAAACGAGAAAGCGCGTGTCACCCAACGAAACAAATATGATGGCAAACAGGTAATGCCCGATGAAAAATAAACAGAAAGCAAAATCCCCGAGAAGTCCGTTGTTTACGAATGAGTGTAATGCATGATTTCGAGAACTCTGTTGTTTAAATGAACCGAGGAACTAGTTGTCAGTTCCTTAAAACACGAAAGGCGAGTCTTTTTTTCTAAATTGAGGTATACAAAGCGAAGTGATGACATAGATAATTATTGAGCATAATGTCATGTCATATGACAAAACATAAGGCTTTAGCGCAGCCTCAACTATGAAATCACAACAATTACCATCTGTATCATGATAGAAGAATATAGGTAGTCGCATCGACACAGCTGCTGGTATAATATACACTCTCAACCCATTTTTGGAGTTGAAAATGTTGAATGAAAAATAATTGGAATTGGTAAAAATTGTTCATAAGAACAGCCTTGAATTTGCGTCGTAAAAAAACATATAAAAATCTACTTAGTTTTGACATAACATTTAAAAAATTTTGGCATATCAAATTTCCCAAGCGTTGATGCATCTGTCTGTATTCCTATACCATGATCTGTATGAAAAATAATGGCAAATATACTAATACATCACACATAAGGGAGATGTTTACCTGCAAATATCTACAAGTTTTGCAATTTTTCGAGACCATAAATGGAATATCTGTTATCGTGGTAAAAACTTTAACATTCTTGCAGTTCTGGATCAAATCATATATACTTTGTAATCCAGGCACTGATTTTGAATAAAGATTGTAAAGTATAACCATTAATATCCTGATTCGGAGTCTAGTTTAAGACGTCCACTGGCAATATACAAATGATTAGGTCCAGGGTGTATGTTTTCCAATTCGTGAATTAGCTTATTTGTAGTACACAACGTTGTTTTTAAATACTATTACTATGTATGAAATATAAATAAAAACCATTAGAATGACCTGTGAATACTAAAACATAATGGAGGATTATAAAATTAGATTTAATGTTTAGCTGCTTTCATTATTTTGAACATGCTAATTGCAATAATTTCAGCTTTGTTACACATATCAATATATTTTTTAATTCCTTTATGTAAGAATTAAAATGTGCTTATGTTATTTTTTACAAAAGATTTGATAATCTACTGTAGTTTTTATTTTATCTTTTAATTTTCCACGACCTCAATGTGAATATAGCAATTGGAAATATATAATAAATCACTTCTCTTGCAGGAGTAAATAATTTACAGTTTGCTTCTGGCTCCTTTGGCTTTTATATTCAAAAAAGGAGACATCAGTGGAAATAGTTCTTTGCTGGATTTGAATGCAACAACGTCCGAAATTTTAGCATGACGTTTCAATATGTGCTCAACAACTTCTTCGTCTTGAGTTGTTTGTGTCGACACTATGTGAACGGCAAGAACTCTTCGGTCCACGCTATCCGGAGCAATGAATGACTGAAAAGACAATTTATTTTTTTTTTTTGTTATTAAAAGTGTTTTAAAACATACGTTATAGCATTGTAGCAATTCGTCCTTCGTGATGTTACGCAGAATTGCCACTTCAGCTTCATTCCTATCAAAATGGTATTGAGCCAAAGAAATTTCAGAGTAAAACTGTACAAATTGAGAAAAAACGGTTTTCGGTTTTTCAAGTTTCTTTACAGCCAATGCTTCCTTATGTCGCTCGAACTCTTCATCGGACATTTCTTCTATTACATTCTGTAAAAAGCACAGTTATTTTATGCATTCATTTTTACATTTTACGTCTACCTTAAAGTTTGCCAAAAAGGACTCTATACGCTCTTCTACAAATGTTGGGTGTTTCGTAGACTGGACAATAATTCTGATACCGTTTGCACCATTTACTCGCCTTGGCCCGCTGAAAACAATGTAACCTAATTGTTCCTATTTAAAACGAAAGTAGATTACATACATCTTTTCGCCATTTATATGTTACACTGACCTTAGTTCGCAAGCAATCATAGCATGGTTCTGTCAATATCTGCGAAATAAGATTCACCATGTTGTTGCTTCGGTCAGTTTGAGGACCACATTGTAGATATATTTGTGTACAAGAACTCTTATGGTACAGATTGTCCTTTTCAAATAGATAACTATCACCTAAAATTCAAAAATTTACAAATCATCACCGTGATACAACATAACTTACCTGGACACAATTTATATTCTCTTTTGGGAAGCATTTGTCTAGCCAACAAAGGCAACACCTTTGCATTTGTATCTTCCAAACGTTTGTTAACCAAACCTGCTATTTCGAGGGCCTTTTTTTTTGCAACGTTGCCATAAATAAAACACTCGGTGTGTAGGCGGGAAAAGAATTCCTTGGCGTATGTAAGGACCCGCTCATATGTTGCTACTATTAATAGAACAGGAAATTTGAAAAGCTTTTCATATTATAAGTAATCTACTTACGTTCAACGGCGTCCAGCAGTTCATAGTTTGACCAAACGTTTTCTGTTAGCAAGAGGGTTAAGTAGTACATTGAGTGCTGATATGGTTGCTCGGCACTAAAATTCTTCAAATTCCGCTTGTATTCCTCTTTAAGGATATTGAAGCGTTTCTCATTTGCTTGGAAGTCAAATAAATGCTTAAGAAGGTATTCTAAAAGCACCACCTGTTTATCGTTGTAACCTCGAATAGTGACCTAAATAAAATAAATAATCATAAACTACTTAAAAAAATCTGTAAAAAAACTCACTTCAATTCCATTAGACTTATTTCCCACTTGTAATTTCAAGTCGGCTAACTCCGCGTCGTAGAGATATTCATTTAATTGGTCCCTTATAAGAGACACCATAAGATAATTTAAATTACAATTGAGGGGATCCAGATAAGCAATGGGATTTGACATGTCAAACGACATGCATGCTTTCGGCTTGAGGTAAACATTATCCTGCTTGTGCCACACACGCAAAATAGGCGTATCCATTATTATGATTGGATGTTTCGACAGGTCTTTATCGAAAGGTTCCAGTTCATAATCTTCCGGAATGAAAGCATTTGGCTGTGGCAATGCTAAATGTGGATTCAACTCACATGTCTCCCATTTCTGTTTTCAAATACATAAGTTAAGGCATTCATAAAATGTAGTTGTTTTAATTCATCACCTTTATCGTTTCGCTTTCTATTTTGAGAGTTGCATACTTTGTTTGGTAATAGGGTTCCGCTAAAACTGCTTGGTCTTCGTAGCTCTGTCCAATAACAATTACTCTACATTTCGACGGGACAAGTTCATCTAGTAATTTCGTAATTAGGTCTGGCTTCCATTCATCACTGAGATAAGGGGCTGTGAGAACCTCTTCCAATGGATAAACCTTAAAGTTTGAGTTGTCATTTAATAGTTTTCATAGTAAGCAAGCAGTACATAGGTCTTAATAGTTTACCTGCATGCAAGTCACAACGTTTGTGACCAACTTTTCAGGTTTCTCCTTCTCTTTGAATCTAAAACGCATGCTGTTGATTTTAGCACACTCGTCAAAAATCCATTTCTGAGGTCCAATTTCTCGAAGCATTTTCAAATATTGGAAAACAATATTAATTATATCATCAACGTGATTTGCCCCCTCCGTTGTAAGTGTAATGTGAATTTCAAAAAAGCCAAAACCATGTAGGATGTTCTGATGGCCCGCAAGAAGATCATTGGACCAACCCAATCTACGCAATTCCGACAATATACTCCCTTTGCCTTCGTGGCCAAGCAAGTGAGTCAAGTAACTATCTGGGGCGGTTTTGTAAAGCCTTGTCAAATCGTCTGTTGTAAAGCTGATAGTTAATGAACGCAAGTCCTTTACAGGTACTATCAATACTCGTTGACCATATTGATTATCATCATAAGGCTCCCTGGGCCAAGTTGGCACATCCACATTTTTATTTTCGATTTCAGAGAACTTCTTTAGCACCATTTGTTCAAGCTCGTCAAGGTTATCTAAAATTGCAAAAGCAACAAAAATTAAAAATACAAAAGTACATAATTTCGTGCATCACCTTTTCCAATAACAGCCAAACTCATTATATTCGCCGAATACCACTGTTTATGAAATTTGAGTAGTTCATCCCTTACTTCTATGTTTTTCTGCTTCGGAATCTCACACAGAGTGGCTTTGCTTCCACTTCCGAACTTCTTATATGCATGTCCTTCCTTTGCTAAATGCTTGTGTACTTGTTTAATACGCCACTCATCGTTGGGCAAATTCTTTTCATGTTCTGAATTGACCTGTTGAAGATGACAGGTGTCATAGCCACCGCAATACATAACAGTTTCTCTCACTCACCGCATTGATTTCGCGCTCGGTCGCACTTGGTGTAAATAACGGAGCTATAAAAAACTGTGCAAACCTATCAAGTGCCCCGTCAAGTTTATCTGGTGCTACGTAGAAATGGTACTTAGTCATTAGAGGATATGTGGCTGCATTGGACGAACCCCCGCTTTGAGACAGATACGTTGTGTAATCGTTTTCATTAGGATACTTTTCAGTACCTAGAAACAGCATGTGTTCGCAAAAGTGGGCTAACCCAGGCAAACTTTCTGGGTCCGACATGTGTCTACAACAACAACATAGAAAGAGACAATTTTAAAGCTACTCACATATATAAAAATAAATACAATTGCCTGCAAAGTCGTCGGAATATTATTCTGTATTTCCCAATGCGTAGTTATGTTATTATTTTTTACTTCTTTGCCTCATTTGCAAAATATTAAGAGCCAGTAAGACATCTGGTGTATTTTAAAATACCAAATAGGTCTTCTGTCTTATTTCTGCCCGATCGCCAAATACCCATGATGCTACACTATGCACCTTTTTGTACTTTTAGTGCGCTTACAGTACGAACTTCCCAAGCCCCTAATGTGTAGACCTAAGCTACAACTGCGTAATATTTTATAAACTTAAAGCATCATAACAAAGCCACGTATACAAATTCTCCAACAGCACATCCTTTTCACACACACAAATAAACAAACAATAGCCAGTCTAGCTTCTGTCCTTTGGTCGGGACATAAACACTCACTTAATTATGTAAATATACCTAAGATTTTAATGATTTGCCAACATACCCCACTTGTACAGCTAATGCAGCAGCTGAGACATCCGTTGTTGGATCACTAACAAGCAACACTTTGAGACCATTCTCCAACTGCAAACCCCTGTAATCTCTGTTGTCTTGTTCACTTTTCTCTATGTTTTCTAGCCTATGTACAAAATAATTAACATTAATTGCAATACAAATAGTTTTGTTATATTGGGTACCTCATGATCGGCAAATTCTTCAGTGGACTACCTGACAACGCGTCTGGGGATGAAACAGAACTGGACATATTTCTCACACAGTTTTCAAACGAATAGCTGTATGATGATGACACCACCGATGACACCACAACGAATGAAGCAGCCGGTTGAAATGCAGATAAAGGGAAAACAATTCGATTGCTCACTTGCTCTTTCGTATTAGAGATTTTTGGAAGATCCAAAACTCACATGAAATTCCTTGTTGATAATTGGCGACGTAGGGGAGATACAAAATGTCTAATAAACATTAATATATTAAACTTATTCTCTCAATTTACACATTCAATGCAACCAAAAAATAAAATTGTATAATACGTTTTGCCTTTTTGACATTTATTGCTTTTTGTTTTGTTTATTTTGTTTATACAGTTTTAGCTTGCGTACTGGTTTAGTGCAATGCACGAAGTTAGTGGGTCTGTTCATATACCTGTACTTGCAGTAAAAATTCAAACAATACCGAGGTTTACAAAATGCTTCGTTTGACGGTGTATTCCCATAGAAATATCTGTAGTGATACCTTTAACAAATGATTGCGCCGGAGAAACGTTATACTTCTGTTTTTTACATATTTTCTGACATTTATTGTCTAGAGTTAAGATTCAGAGGGATTTCGAAAAAAACTTCATTAACCGAATGAAAAATTGCAACTGTCACCGAACGAAACATCAAATTTAAAGTGGCGCAAATAGGAAAAATATGAAGGTATTGCCGCAGATCTACCTGCGGATTATTAGTTTCATCAGTTTTATCTATCAGATTGTACCCGATTTCTTTCAATATATATATATATATATATATTTTTAATTAGAAGGATATTCCATAGAGATAAACAATATTTAATGCGTCGTATACGTGCCACCAACATTCACAAAGCAATGATAGAATTTTCGTTATTTCTTTGTTTCGTCGGAAAAAAGAAGGAGAAAAATCAATAAAACACGAAAGTTTAACCAAAACGAATAAAGAAAGCTGAGAAAACAAAAAGACGGCTCGGTTCTGTTCTTTATTGGGTTTAGTTAATAGTATCTTCTGCGAAATCTTGTTTTTAAGCTTTAATCCTACGATATCTCCACAACGTAAGTATAATATTTTAATATTTTTCCAATATATAAAATGGTAGTTAAGATATTAAAAATCATTGTAAATTGCAACAGAAATGAGTCCATTCACACACGCACACACACACACACATATATATATATATATATACTTTTGTCAGGTGCTGCTTTCGATTTCTTTCTTACATTTCTGATTGCAAAAATTACATTCACTTTCAAATGCCGATACAAGATTAAAATAAAATATTAGAAATCAATTGAACACTTCTTTAACGATTGTGTGTGGCGTATTGTGGACTTTTGTCCTCATCAAATGTGCTATTTGCATCGATCCTAGTGAACACACATAAATAATTAATGATAACTTCCACGGTTGTCAAATGTTAGAAGAGCTCTTTGAGATGTCGAGACTCAGTTCTCGAATGTTTTTGTATTTTCAGTCGGTGATAACTCTTTTGGACGAATGCTACCATTTGGATCGTTGTACCATATAAGAATCCGAGGAATCCCGAAGTAAATGGAAACATGGATAACGAGCAACCACATCAGGAACTGGTCAAATGTGTACTTGTTGGTGACACTGCTGTAGGAAAAACACGCCTAATTTGTGCGCGAGCTTGTAATAAGCATGTATCGCTTTCTCAACTCTTGTCGACACACGTTCCCACAGTGTGGGCGATTGATCAGTACCGCATTTACAAAGATGTCCTTGAGAGATCGTGGGAGGTTGTGGATGGCGTGAACGTTTCATTGCGGCTTTGGGATACATTTGGAGATCACGATAAAGATAGGCGATTCGCTTATGGACGGTAAATTAGTATTAGGGGCAACTGCGATTCTAATAAAATGTAAATTAATTTCAGCTCGGACGTCGTACTTTTATGCTTCTCTATAGCTAGCCCTATTTCGCTTCGCAATTGTAAAGCTATGTGGTATCCGGAAATTCGGCGATTTTGCCCTGATGTTCCTGTAATATTGGTAGGATGTAAAAATGACTTACGGTATATGTACCGCGATGAGACTTATTTGTCTTATTTTGGTGAGAGGAGCACCTTTGTAAGGTAAATGAAACATGACTTTTCTCAGATATATTTAAACAATTTGCTTTTGCTTTTTTAAGAGCTGCTCTAAAAAGCGATTTAGTAATGCCTGACGAAGCTCGTGCCGTGGCAAGGGAGTTGGGCGTTTCTTATTATGAAACTAGTGTCTTTACATATTTCGGAGTAAATGAAGTGTTCGAAAACGCAATTAGATCCGCATTAATTGCGCGACGACAGCAGCGATTCTGGATGACAAATCTAAAAAAGGTACAGAAACCCTTATTACAGGCTCCGTTTAGACCACCTAAGCCGCCGCCACCAGAAGTAACAGTAGTCGTTGGAAACTATCGTCAAGATATGTACAATATGTTTCTGGCACAGACTTACACCGATCTCATACTAATAGTGGGTAACACGAAATTTTCTGTGCACAAGTTTATGGTTGCCGCAGCTTCCAATCTTTTCAATCGATTGTTAAGCATTGACATTTCTGATATGGGTGGCCGAAGTAGCAGCGAATCTAGTATGGTGAGTTAGACTGTGTATTTGTAATGTTTGTATTTGTAAATTTTAACATTTTCACAGGTTAGTTCCACTTTTGGAGAAGCTACAACTGCGGATTTTAACGACGATACCGAGTGTTTGATTCGAAACGAGTCGCGCGCACAAAGGTAAATTCAAAATAATGTGAATGATTACTATTTTAATACAAACTTGCAAGTAGGTTACATTTTCCAAATAATAATGAGTCTTAGATTTACAATATGAATGTATTCTGGAGCTTTTGTTTCCTCCTACACATTCACGGTAGCCTTCATGAAGATCGTGGAAGAGTTACATTATTTTCTCTGTTTCCTAATATTTCATTTGTCCCAGCAGAATGTGGGAACAAATAAAGCGTCGATCTAGCTATCAGGCACTGCCTCTGATTGAAGCTAAACGCCCAACTGAGCTTTACAAGGATTTACATCATCCAGTGTTCCAAAATATACGAGTCGTTCAAATAGATAATAACAATGGAATCCAAACTAACCAGACCATTTTAACGCTTACAAAATTGATTACTACACAGGCGTTACATCAATGCCTAAAGTTTATATACACCGGCACAATAGATTTATATAGTGTAGAGGTACTGACCTTTTCCATTATAATGTGCAAAAACATTTTTTACACATTGAACTTCTTGTGTGTTTAGGATATAAAACAGGCAGCAGAACTATTAGAGTTGTCACAATTAACCAATTTCCTGTCGAAGCCTCCAAATGCCTTGACTGGCGAAGAACCAAACTCACATGTCTGTTTGGTAATTATTCTGTCCGATAGCATGTGTTTTCGTAAGAATAATTAAGCGTGTTTTTAAAACTACTCTCTTAAGGTATTAAAAGAAAACATGGAAAAGCACTGTTCGGGCGATGGTCTGTTTACAGATATTACGTTTGAGTTGGACGAGGGGCAAATGAAAGCACACAGAGCTGTTCTAGTTTCTCGTTGCGATGTGATGAGGGCAATGCTAGCGGGAGATTTTCGCGAAGCCCATTCGAGTGTGGTAAGCGAAGACCCATACAAATAAACGACACTTGCAAACCGTTTCTCTCTCATTACAGATCATTTTTCCCGGTGTAACACTATATACATTCCATAAATTACTCTGCTATTTATATACCGATGAAATACCGCATATCTCTGCTGTGAAATGTCTTAATCTGTTGGAATTAGCCAATCGACTGTGCCTGCCCCGTTTATTAAATTTGGTGGAATGTCGTGTTATCGAGGACTTGACGATGATTTCTCAAAATGAAACAAATCAAACAGTCGATCATTGCTTAAAACTGTTGGAGCCAGTAAAGGTATTAGATTCCAAGCTAATTCGATTTCCAAGTAGTGGGTTTGTTTCCAACAAAGTTTTTGTTTGCTTATAGCTTCATAACGCACACCAACTGGCGGAGTGGTGCATGTCATATTTGTGTGTAAACTACAATATTATTTGCAAGTATTCAATTAAAGGACTCCGAGCTCTGCACCAAGAGAACCAGGACTATTTGCGTGAACACCGGTGGCCTCCAGTGTGGTATTTAAAGGACTATGACTACTATCAACGTTGTATAAATGAAATGAACAAAGAAATCAAAAATTCCCGACGAGACTCCCGCAGTGACGATGAAGGTTGTCTTTGTTTTACTGGTGGTGAGTAATGAAAATGAAAAAAGTAGGAATCATGTGTAGTCTAGAACCATTAACATTTGAATAGTATTTGTTCGTTGTTTCGTAAATAAATATTTTATTTTGTTACCGCTCATTGTAAAACAGTCAAATGAAAACTAACAAAAATTCCAAAAACAGGTGAAAATACTTAGTCAACTTATCAGCATACATACTACTGTTTTACTCGGCTAAATTTGTCTAGTAAAAAGTAGTGTTTTCTAAAATTAATCTGCACGGTTTGCTACTTTTCGACAAGGGGAACGGTTTCTAGTCATACCTTGCAAAAATGGTAAAAGTATTAGACTCTTACGCTTAAATAACCCAAGCTACTGTGTCCAAATTATAGCACGACTTATAAAATCAAACGATGATATTTAGCTACCAGTAGTTGCACGGAATACAGCAGAAACAAAACCACCACCCTTGGTTTGACCATAGTCCAAATAAGTGTAATATTCTTTCCCCATCAGAATGTGCCAGGAGTGAATTCTAATAAATACATGTAGCCTAAGACCATATTCAACTCATTCCCTCATTCGTATGGAAGCCATGGCGGCAAATAGACCTTGGTCTATATCTTCAAGCTATTAAAATAAATATGAAAATAAATACCGAGTATCGTATTTAAAACACTGTGCGACTCAAGATTTAATATTTTCTATCAAACTGATAATCTTTTTAAGGGTTGGGCATATTGCACTAAATTTTTAGTGCACTAAGAATTAAATATTTACCACTAAAGGGTTAGTGGTAGTGAAAAATAAATTGCACTACCACTAACCCTTTAGTGATATTTAAAAAAAAAATTCCACTACCACTAACCCTTTAGTGATATATAAAAAAAATTGCACTACCACTAAATTTTAGTGGTAGTGAAATTTTAATAGCACTACCACTAAATTTAGTGATTTTTTAAAAAAAAATTTGCACTACCACTAAATTTTAGTGAAGCCAAAAAAAAAAACACTATGTATATAAGTATTATACCAGCTATAATGAAGTTTATTGAAATGAGTAGGGAACAACAATCCAGAATATATAGTACATATTCATAAAATTTGATTACTTTTCTAAATAGCACTAATTTAGTGCTATTTTTTATGAAATACCACTAATTTAGTGCAAGTTTTTTTAAATACCACTAAATTTAGTGGTAGTGCTATTGAAATTTCACTACCACTAAGATTTAGTGGTAGTGGAATTTTTTTTTAAATATCATTAAAGGGTTAGTGGTAGTGCAATTTATTTTTCAATTAAAATTAATTAAATTAAAAATTGCACTACCACTAAATGAACAGTGATAGTGAAATTATTAGTGCACTAAAAATACAGTGCATTATGCCCATCTCTGATATCTATTGCATGTAATAAGCCCTCACAACAATACAATCCTCTGAAACTGAGCTTGTAATTTTGTAAATTTTAGTTCTAACGAAAACAATTGATTTTAACTGATCATTTGTACATACTTTATATTTTTGTAATACATTGAAGTGCATTTTAGCCATGTATTATATCAGAATTTAGATCGCAGTCTTAACACATTACAATGGCCTCTTATTTATTGAATAAATTGAAAAATATATATGTCTTTTTTAACGTGTATCTCGGGAGTCTAGATAGCACTGCAATTCTGGATATGGTAATCTTCAAGCTTGTATTATTAGAATAAAATCATCTCACTACATTGATCATTTCTCTTTGATTATTAATATGAACTTTTCGAAAAAGTAATTTCTTGGATGCTAGGAAAACCAAAACCCCAAAGGATGTCTTCTGGAAATGGAAGTGAAAATGCGAATGAGGCACAGATTCTCAACAGCTCTGGAATTTCAATGAATCATATTGATTTGGAGGCCGACATGGACTTGAATCTCTGACATCCAGCCTTGGGGCATAGGCGGTAAGTTATATGAATCTGCTTTTGAAATGCTCCAACTAATCTAGTATTTAATTGTTTTAGATCGCTACGTTTCATCGTCATTTTGCCCGTATTGATTTGCTTCATATGTACTATTTTGAGTATTTTAATACTCTTTCAAATTTACACGTAACGCTGGAAATGGAGGGAGAGATGAATACGGAAATAGGAAATTTGGCTGCAAGACAATTTGGACCATTTCTGTAGTAGGAACAGCCGAGTTATTTTTTAGACTCAACAATATTTTCTATGTTAATCAGTTATTGTATAAGAAAAAGGCAAGCATTTTAACCGCTTCAAACATTAAATTGCGAAATAGGGAACTTTTGTCTAGCCATTAGCTCTTAGCTTAAGCATTTACTAATAGTAGTTAGTAAGTAAGTAGAAGACACTCATAAAACCAACAATATTTGTTTCTTACTTTGCAAAAATAATTTGTATTCAGTTTTCCACTAGAGAAACACCCGACTGAAGGAATTATGTACATAAGCTACAAATATCACAGTTTTATGGTGTGGCATTTGAGCATTAGTTAAACGATTCTTTGGATTTAAGTGATGCATGGCAATCTATGGCAATGTTGAAGGTTCAATATGTTCTAGGGTCTATTCGATTATATAATATCACATTATAGTTGCAATATCAACAATACACATGTAAATACGTTTTTAACAATGCTATAATATAATGGATCATCTAATAACTGATAATATAACTGCCACTGTACAATCGCCGTTTTGGAAAAAAGAGTTAATTCATCTAATACGTCGGTTTTAACAAGGTAAGTGAGGTAGGTATCGAAATTTATGACAAAGTTGGTAGGAACATACTCAGAAATACCTATCCAAATAATTTTGGAGGGCCAAACTGGGCGGCATTTTCTAGAAAGCAAGCCGCACTTCTTATGTCTTTATCATAAAAAGGTTCAATGTGGCAGACATACGACCGGTCCTAATTATTCAAAAATTAAATTCTACTAGAAAAGTGGTTTTCACTGGGCTAATTCGTTTATTGAGATTTAATAATTGAACCATACGATTTTAATATCGCCCATATGTATGTACAGCCACTGTAGAACATAGTGTATTCAGGTGATTAATCAAGTCCAATTAAATAAGATCACACAGGAGGCGAAATCAGGCAAATGCAAAACGTTTTATTGGGAGAAATCCAAAAAAATATGAAATGAAAATTCTATAAAGAACTTATTTTTCCTTCATACAAATGATCATACAACAAGAACCAGTCCGTGTTTATATGACTTGGAGGTGAAGCATCGTTTTGAATCATATAGGAAGCTCTTGTACATATTTTCAAATTCTTTGGAAATTAATATTCATATTTTCTGTTCAAACTTCATAAGTTTTTTGTTCTACTATAGTTTTTTTTTTTATTAACAAGCCTCTGTTATAGGCGGTGCCTCTACACATTTTTATGTCCATATTTACTATGATGAATTTTATCTAGTCTTTACCATTTCATGTCTTGGCTTGTGTATAATTGTTACCATTCCATTTATTACATATACCTTGAGCACCTTGTGTGTGAAGTTATAAAATTTGCCTATGAGGGGCATTGAACGATTTATTACATATAATTGGTGAACCTTTTATTTGCAGAATTTACAAACATTTTCAGGTCGCAAAATTTCTGAGGGCTCTTTTTAAAGGAATATATTTTCAAACAAAGAACAAATTAAATTAATTCTTTTTTAAACATTTGCGTCCATTTTTACAAGTAGTATTTATTTATGCATTTCACTCGGAATATTTTCTTTCGTTTCTAATTAAATGTTATTGAAAGTCTTTGAGAATTCATATTGGTTTGTAATAAAATCTATATACATGCCACTGTCCATAAATATTTAACATTCGATGTCACCTCGTTATAATTTATATATGTGTGCATAATATACCGTTTGTTTCAAATAGTGGCTTCACTAACGCTGAAGCTATTGGCAGGTGTTTTTTGTTCTACTTCTAGTTCATCTAACATCGCTATAAGTTCAGCATCACTTATTTCTATTTTCTGTGGTTGCGTTATTTGAGAATCATTCGCTGGAGCTTTGCCTGGTATAATGGGCGAAGATGCAGCAGCCTGATCTGCAAACAGCCCCTTTAGTTCGCGTTCTAATTCGTCCTCTTCTTCCGTAGAGAGACATTCAGAGGTGCTTGTCTTAGCAATAATTTCTTGTAGGTCAGAATTAGTATCTATTGTTTCACGCAAATCTGAAACAATTTCTTCAACATTATCATATGTTAGGTTGGACGATTTTAGAATTTCTTGCAAAGCCTTCGTTCCATATTTATACGCGTCCAAAATCACTCCATTATGTTTAGCATCATCTAAGTTGGACATGAGCGATTCTATGTTATGTAAAGCATCGCTGCGTTTTGCTAAAACAAAATTTGCATGAAAAAAGAACAAATTATATTTCGATTTTTTTAAGTTTTCACGAAATTACCATGACTTTTTTCAAGAAGATGCTTTTTGCGCAGATAGGTCTTTGCTAATAATCGCTTATTTTCCTTAATGTATTGACGAGCTTTTTCTTCGTTCTCAGCAACCTGAAATTCCAAGTTCTCAAGTTGTTTCAGCAACAATTGCCTTGTTGTATGGAGATTGTGCAAGCCAATATCCGACTCGTTTATAATTACAGAGGGATGTGATGCGGCTAAAAAAATAAATGAAATATTAGCACGGCATGTTTGAGAATCAGATTTCAATACTTGCAAGGTATTTTCACCAAATGTATAATCTGATTATTATTTCCATCGACATTTTGTCGGTAATGTAATCCTATCTTATTCTGGCAGGACAAAGTTTGTAAACATAGGACTAAGCAATCTTCCGACATTTTTGTCGAGGCAAAAATGCTATTTTTCAGTTCCTCATAGCAAAAAATGGCACCAGAGAAAGGAGGATTCTCGAAAATCGCTTGCAAATCATTGCAGTATTTCTAAGAAGCAGAAGCAAGTATTAAAATCCACATAAGCTTTGTCCAATGAGAATCGTATGTATTACTTTCATTGCAGTAAGGTGCACAAACATGTGATCCTGTTGCGCTGAATTCGGAGACAGAACAGCGTTTTTAATTTTATGCAACGGGTTTTTCCAAAACCTGAGCACGGCCCAACCAGTCCAACCGTTTGAGGGGTCGTACTCGTACTCGAGGCGAGGTCGTATAAGTCCACTTCGCTGCATTTCGCCAATCACTGTGTCTAGGCAAGAAGGAACTCTTTGTCCAATTGAAAATGTCTGAAGCAACTCATATTTGGAAAAAGTGGACGATCCCCTATGCAGACAGAATTCTAAAATGATGTCTTTCCAAAATTTCATTTTCGAATCGTAATTTTCAGGATTAACACTGCGTTCCCTAAAAGGAACATATAATGCTTGAGCTCTCAGTTCGTCATTAAGAACGGCAGGCAGTTGAAACTGTTTTGGGGATTTAGCCACCTGTGATTTGGAGGATACACTGCTCATTGTGTCGTAGCTGCGAACTCGTTCTAATCCCAAGTAAAGGTTTCCAATGGACCCAATATGGTCTGTCGTCGTGTTATTTGTGTAGACGTCCCAACGAAACAATAAAGAAGGCAAACAGGTAAGGCCCGATAAAAAACGAACCGAAAGTAAAATCACCGATAACTCTGTTGTTTACGAATGAGAACAACACAATCAGCCATTCATTACCCGAGAACACGGTCGCATCGACACAGCTGCTGGGACAACTAACTGTCAAACCAATTTGGAATTGAAGAATTTAAAAGAAAAATTATTGACATTTGTAAAAATTGTTGAAAAATGCATGCATTAACAAAAAACTGAATGAGGGGTCCACATTTCTTTTCAAAATTGTGTTCTATGTTTCTCCAAAAACTGATTTCGCTACAAAAAGTGGGTAATACGCATTTTGATTACAACCATTGTAGAAGAATATAGGTAGACGCATCGACAAAGCTGCTGGGACAATTAACTGTCAAACCAAATTTTGGAATTAAAAATGTTGAATGAAAACTTATTTACATTTGTATAAATTGTTGAAAAACGCCTATTATAATAAGTTCCGAATGACGTCGTATAAAACATATAAAAATCTACTTATATTTGAAAAGACATTCAACATTTTTTGACATGTCAATGTTCCCAACCGTCATAGAAGAACAAAGAAGTTTTATTTATTTGATTTTTTTGTACTATAACATGTATACAAAGTCTTTAGGCCCTTAGGTTGACTTAGTTCGATTTTTGTCCTACGCTCCTTTGTTACTTTCCGAAGAAGCCAGCCGATGATTTAAGCCAGTAAAAAAAATGTTTTATGTAGTCTCACCATTAGGAAAACACAAAAATATTAACATTTACACAAAAAGTCCGAAGCATGAATTAAAATTGTATAAATAATGATAAAATCATGGTAGAATTAAAAAGGTAAAGTCATGCAGTTATATGTTCACAATTTTTTCAAAATTATTCATTTGACGACATCTCATTGTCAAAATTTACATTTATAAACCCATTGAATTCACACAAATCAGAGATGGGAGCCAATTTTTATGCCATGTAATTTGACAAGGTAAACTACAAAAAAGCAGAGGAGGGAATGCTTATTTGAAATGACTTTACCTTCTTAATTTTACCATGGATAAAATAAATCTTTGGAGGAAAAAAAACATGTCGTCTATTTATATTAATATGAGTTTCATCTGTTTTCCGAAAAATGCTCATTAAATTCAACAAATTAAAATTTGAAAAAGTAATTATGTTAATATGAATTACGAATCGTGCCGTATGAATGGATAAATTCGTGCACCTAATGCTGAAAGCGAACAACGTGATTGGAATTGTTATGAGAACATAGCATAAACTTTTCACTACGATAACTGATTTTTACTTTATTATATCGTAAAACTAATAACTCAAAATTCACCCTTTCCTTGCACCGTTTATACAACTCCATCTACTTTTTTGAGTAAGGGAAAACGATTTTAGTTGCAATATAGGTTAAACATGATTAACTTTCACGTAGAGAAAAATATCTAAAGTCATTACGCATGCGTAAGAAAAAGATTTGTCATCGTCTAAACAAATTATTTTTTAATGAAGTTCATTCCTACATGCACCTTACGATACGATACGTAACACACTAAACGTAGGGAAGTTTAAACGGCGCTAAGATGCGGTCGTCTAACTTTGTAGTTCGGACTTGCTTTTTCTCTTAAGGACAGACACCTCCAAATACAAAAATTTTCTCGGTAAACAAACACACTCCTGTTTCTCGAATCGAATTTAATAAACAATAATAAAAGAAATTGTAAAAATAGTTAGTGTGATCTTAGACTTCTTTATTATCCGTACTTGCGTTGCGTGTTTTTATATTTTGCATGCCTATATGTAAATGGGTGTGTATGTATGTGTAAATATTTTTACGTACTTTGTTTTTATTGTCAAGTGTAGTGTGAAAAGTCTAAATAAGAGTAAGAGGCTGCATTAACCGCAGTTAACAAAAAAATCCTAAAAAAGTGAAACGGAAACACAAGTTTCAATGAGAGCTTCCACTCGCCATTGTAGACTTTTTTGACATAGGACAATGGCGGGAAACCTGGTAAAGTGGTGGAAACATAAGTTCCTTGGCGGATATAAACAATTCTCAGGTGAGTACGAGATGAGTGCTACTTCGTCCTACTTAATACAGCTACACGGACTGCTTGTTTGCAATCATTATAGTATCTAAAGGGGCGTACATCGAGTCATCAGTGTAGTCAATTTCGTTGAGAAGGGAATAAAAAACATGTTTCATGATACACTCGGCGGCGGCCATTCAAAGCTATGATCGCTTTGAATAGCCGACCCCTCACAGTCAACGCTCAGCAAGATAAAACAACAACATTAACTGTATAGATATGTAGGTTTCAGTGTGTATGCGCCACGAACAGACAACACGAGTGGAGAACAAAACAGAAAAACGATGGTATGGTGGTGGTGGCATTTAAAAGAAACAGTCTTTCGAGAGATACAATGACGACGGAAAGTTCAAAGAAAAATCAGAACGAACGTAGGCACACCACACCAAAGAGTTGCCGTTCTGTCCTCATAGTAGATATGTGTGTAATTACATTACATAGCATACATGTATGTATTGGGTTTTGTACATCACCTAATACATAAAACATATTTATTCTCTATGCCAATTTGATATGCCATCTATCCGTAGGTCACCCACCCAAATTGAATAACATTTTTCTCCTTCTGCTCCAAAATTAACATTTTTTTGGTTGTTAATTGGTTCAAATGAAATTCGTAAAAAAAGATTACGTTTTTCTAAAATGCACTTATCTGTTGTTATACTTCGGAATACCTAGTCTTTTTCCCCTAATTTTGATAATGTTTTTAATCACATTTTGGGTAAATTTCTGGGTTCCTCATTTTGATATTTACTTACCAATTTCCTATCCCTAAATACACTTATTCTAATCCAAGATTGTGCATATTCTTAGCATGAGACTACTGGAATCAGCATTAAACTTAATTACATTTATTAAACTAGCAAATTGTACGTAAGCACTCTTAGGTCCATTTCCGAAAACGGGCTTTATAACGTCGTAAATCTATTAACGTACTGAACTGGTAACATCATTAGGGATCATTCGACTAAATTTGTCAGGAGAATATAAATTATCGATTCCTTGGCAGTATCACTTATCGTATCTAGTTTATAAGCGAACAGAGATTTTTAACCTGCGCATCGGTTATTTGGTAGTTTCCGTATTTTAGTTTATTTTATTACAAAATGTATGGATCTGTATTCAGTTTATTGATTTAAAGCGGATAATACATGCTTCAAATGTGTTTTTACACATATTTGCTTTCTTCTTTATTTTTTTTTTACAACGCTTGGCTAGCAAATTTGTTGGAAGCGAAAAGCTGCTTTTGAGACGAGAGAAAAAAATATTCAAAGGAGGGACACAAAATTGGTATTACTAAGTAGAAGTTAATAGACTAAGGGGCACCGTTACAGTAGTCTTTGGTGACATCGCATTTACACAAAGTTGGATGTGTGGCAACTAGCATTGGATAGGCCTGTGGAGAAGACCATTAAAGATTGTCCTTCCATTGTCTAGCAATCTAAATCTATCGAATCGAACCATTTTGCTTGAAAAGCGACGAAATTATTGCACAGTAAATACTTGTAGATACTCCTAATTTCATTAACCTCTACCAGTAGTAGGAATTGTGTTTCCGACAAAATTCAATACAATTTAAACCCAAAATGTTCATTTAAAAAGTGAAATTGCTTCTATCGACAAAATTGTTCTTTACTGAAATTATCAACAATTGCTGCGACACTATAATATTATAACTTTGAATAATAGTTTGATTAAATAGTTTCGATGATTCTGTTGTTAACTGGTTGGAGAGTCACACTTCAGAACTACAATGTGAAAAATGCATGCTCCTCTTTTGGTAACTTTTCTTATATGCCAATTTAGATATTTAACTCGATATGGACTTATGAATATGAGATGTTGTCGAACGTATACTTTTAGGGTGCAGGTCATATGATTGTGATTTTATTCGTTTGTTTCTCCTTTAAGGCTTGTTGTTATGCCATACTCGAAATGTGGAAAGAATCTCGTGTTTCTAAGCAATCTTTCTAAAACTAACTTATTTTCAAAGGAAAATAGTTAATTCTCATTACCCACAAACAGACCCCATCCCATTGGAATGACTAATGAATAGTAAAGCAGAAAGGGAAGTGGTAGCCTCAACTAAACGTACAGTTCCTAAAATTCGCTCTCATGTTGTGTAGAATGAACCTACATGGAGAAGAACGTGATATATATATTTTTTTTATTATTGAATGATCTCAAAAATAGGCAGTGTAGCCCGGACAGAAAAGTGCTTTTTTAGAACAATACATTAATTATTAATATTTCAGTGCAAGAATGTGCAACGGATTCAGAGGAGCTAATCTACCATCAAGTGCGAGCCTCGTCCTCTTGCAGCGCACCCCCTGACCTGCTACTTGTAAGTGATCGCGAGAATAATCTGTCATTGCAATCTGGAACAACTTCCAGAATTAATCCGACATCGACAGCGACATCGCCCGTGGCATATATCAATACATGTGCATTAAGTAATAACAATCAAAGCGATACTCAAAAGAACCACCGCATCGTAAAACAAACATCAACATCACATGACAGTAGTTGTAGGGACGGCAGTAGTAAGAACTTGCTAAAGTCCGGCGTGCATCGTCAAATACCATTTGACCTACAAGAGTCTCAAGTCGGCGTTGAGACACCACTCGAATGTCAACAGAGTCAATCATCCAACCGCTTTGTCCAAAATGCACAGCAACAACAACCTGAGGACCACATACGATTAGAGGTGAGTCACAGAAAAATATAATTTGCTTTAAAAGACATGACTGCGAAGGCCAGTTTGGCATTTTGTAGTCTGTGCGTTGATGACTTCACTCAACTGTTGAATTTAACGATTTTTTTCAGGAATTCACGTGTGATGTCTCAGTTGAAGGTGGGAAAGCGTCACAACCATTGCAGTTTTCCTTTACGTTTTATGACTTAGATGGCCACCATGGAAAAATTACAAAGGATGACATCGTGGGCATCGTTTATACTATATATGAATCGATTGGTAAATCGGTTGTGGTGCCACACAGTGGTAGCAAGACAATAAATGTACGCCTTACAGTGTCTCCCGAGGATAAAGCGTCTAAATCATCGGCTACCACGAGAGTGGTACCCTCAAAATCATGTGCATTAGAACAGCAAAATGTTCCGTTGAATAAGGTATCTGGTAATGTCTTGGGTAGGCGGACACATCGGTACAGACCTCGGAAACTTATTAGGTCCGATGAAGAGGACGACGAAAGCGGCAGCGACAAGGAGCGCGATGCAAGCTGTACAAGAAACCCTGGTGTTCCTCTCCTGACAACATCCACAAAGAATAACAGACTGCCTAAAAACAAACAAAATCTTCAATGCTGCCAGTCTGTTGCGCAAAGCCAACCAAATAGTGAAGTCAACGTATCCGAAAATATGTATAATCTCACGAAGAAAAGCGGCCACGAGACTTGTCGCCAGTGCCTGGCTGTAGTCGAAGAAAATGTAAGCGCAACAATATCGCCTAAACCTGACCATATTCTGCCAAATTCAAGCAAGCCAGTTTCGAATGAGGCCTTTATGAAACATGCAGCATTAACGCGAATGAAATTGCTAAGGAAGTCGAGAAAACAAAAGGTGTGTCTTATTTTTGTGGAAGTTCCACTTACAATTGCGAAATGAGAAAAAGTTCATATCCTAAAATACGCTTTTCCATTCTGTCAATTAATCTTTTCAATTTCTTATTCTCATACGAAACAGCTCCAAGGCTGCAATCAAATTCGTCAACGTAGCTTGTCTGTTGGGAATGAGACGTGCTGGAATAATCGTCATTTGCAAAAGTCACAGAATCAAAACCAGTTGGCTTGGGTTGATCAACAGCTTAACAACACCGACATACTAGATGGTGTTCAGCTGCGTAACGCTTTTCAGGCCGAGAATACATCTGTTTCGCAGACACGCAGCTCGGCAGAGTGTTGGAAAACCCCGCTAAACCGTAACGACCTAATAAGCATTATACGGGAAAGTATGGAGAAGAATCGATTGTGTTTTCAACTGAATGGGTAAGCAAAACGAATACCTTGGGTACGAAATGCTGTTTGCAATGCAGTCCCAGTCAATCGATTGCTTAAACATAACAAAAGCATTTCAAGTACCGGTATGCGTCATCGCACGCATTTCTGGGTTGCAAATAGCGTTTTTAGAGTCGAGATATTAAGGAATATCCAGCTAATATTTAACTTGAATACATTTCAGAAAACCTCAAGCAAATGTGAGCCCTATCAGGCAGCAGACTCCTCAACGCCAGTCTTCAAACAAGAACAAACACATCCCAAGTCAGTCACGGGCAAAAACAAGAATCCCGATGTTAATTGCAAACCATAACAGTCGGTCGATCCATTTTTCCAATAACAATGATTCATCCTTGATGACTGATCATGTAAATAACCCTAGTATTCTCCATAACCAACCGAACATGCCTATGTCCCACCAGCAATTCGCTCCGAACTCAATAATATCAAAATGTAGTCAAAATGGTTCGTCGGTACTTAATACAAGAATGCCCTCGCAGCATGGCAAAATGAATCTCTGTGGATATGACTCTTTCCTACATGCCACAATATGCGGTGGTGCCACACTAAACCATACATCGCCAATTTCAACATCACCGCATATCAAAACAAACAATCAAACAAACGAAACATCAAATACTCATACTAATTATAATTCTCAAATCGCTACAGTACCACCCACTATCTTACCGGCCTTGGCAGTTAGTCCCAAAACCGAATCTAAGTATGCGGGCATTCCCGTCGGTTCTAATCACAATGCTAAAACTGCCAAGAGTCCCCGCAATGTGTCTCTTCCCCATGGCCATCATGTTAATACAACTGGCAATTCCACATCCCATAACTCACCTCAATACCATGGTTACCAGCGATTGCCGTCCGGAAGTAAACATATTGCTCAACTCGTGAGTCCGGTACAGCAAAGTACAGACAAGGTTCAAAATCAGCTTCAAGAAAAATTCAGGTCAAATCAGATACAGAATTATGAACTGTACGCGAAACTAACAGAGAAGTTGCAGCAGACAAGTTTGGCAACTTCGAACAAAGAGAATCTTCATAGGCGAAGTAAGCACCGGTTGCAGCGACAAAGGCGTTCGAACGGATCATTGTTGCACGCAAATAAAACATGTAATTTATCGTTGACGGCTTCAGGCAAAACTGAGGGTTACGCTTCTGTAATACCCTTTTGCGAAGACCCCGTAGAGTTTCAAAATTTGATAGCTCAAACAAGCGAAGACGAGTGTCACTCCCCGCATGAAAATATTGAAAGCGGATCCAATGACATGCAAAATTCGCCAGAGACGATACATGTAGCTGAAGCAACGTTAGTCGATCTCGATTTAGATGAGGGAAATGACGATCAGGCAGTAGCTGCGAATCAACACCGTATGGGCAGTATTAAACACATACCTCCGAGTGGCGATTCAAAAAGCGGCGTTGACCCCGTTGAGGATGACCTTGAAATAGATGACGAACTGGACCAAGACCTGGCCGACTTGGAAGGAATTCCAGTGTCTGAAAGTGGCCGAAATAGCTCAATAAGCAATGATGCGAATGACACGATTGCCAACACCAGTGCCACCTCCTCTCTTATTCACAGATATGTTCACGAACATATACATCACCATTACCATCATTTCGAGGATAAAGATGAATAACTGACTATCTACTATTAAGTGATATTGGCAACGAGTCCTGAATAATAATAACAAACACAATTTTGGTTGTCTTTCTGTAGACCACGAAAAGGAGGGGGACAAGACAATGTTTAATCAATACTCTCTGAAAATTCTATTTGTTACTTTTACATGAGTATATAATCTCTCTTTTGATATCATCTAAAAAATAACATCGTTATACTAATATCTAACTCAATGCAACATTTTCTGTTTCGCTCCATATGCTCGTCGTACATATTTAAAAATACAACCGCAGATGCCGACATCGAAATTAGCGAATATTTTAGTAAATACACACTATAGTATATATTTATGGTTTAAGTTGCTGCTGCTATGTATGTTCTGCCGCCAGCAAAGACCGCAACAATAAAAGCATGTTTTATCAGTGTTTAGCTATATGAACTGAATCGATGGCAACAGGTGGCCACGCTGAGGTACATGAAGATGGGTCTGCGATCTTCATAATGGCTCTTCTGAAATAAATATAAAAACATTACCGTTCCAGCTCTTGCGGTTATCCTAATTTTTTTTTTTTTTTGCGCACCAGAGTGTGTTGTGAAACAAAAAGTATTATAACATATACTATTTGCCCACTCGAAATTCGTGTACATTCGAAAGTAAACATTTCAGTTAACATTCACACTGCATGTTTTAGACTTAAGATAGCCGTATTTTAAACATAACATACCTGCATACCATCATATTTCAAACATACATCATAAATTTGAAAGACTGATTTCCTCGATTTATAAAATATTTTTTACATAAACAATGTACGTACTAAGGGCATTGATAATTGAACTAATAAATGTATATACAAAAATTACATAGCTAGTTTTTTATCTCAGTTCAGAATGTTATAAAAAATGTAATTCAAGTGTCTGCAAATGAACACTTGGGTCGGCTGTTAAATCTTCAAAACAAAAAAAGTCAAAATAATTTTTGGTGTGGCATTCGAACGACAAGAGACCACCACCCCCTCTAAGATTTCTTAGACGGGCGGACGGACGGCGTTAGACGAACAAAAAATTTGTTGGTCTATTAGCTGTCACATCGATTCCAAACCTCTATATGTATATTTACATCCATATGTCAAGAGTCAGATGGTTGTCCTATTTATAAATCAAAACACAAAGCCGAAGAACGCACGACGGTGAGGCGAGTATGTGTGTGTGTGCGAGTACGATAGAGGTGCGTGCTTGCATATCCATCTATACACATTTACGGATGCAGTCCTTTGTTCACGTAGATTACTGGTGGACCGCTAACATCGGCATGTTCACATATTTTCGAAAGTAGGGTCTCTTCGCAAATCGCTTTGACCGACACATTTAATTAATATGGTCCTATCGCTTGATTTGTTGTGGCTAATGTCAGTGGGGATGATGCCACATCTTCCGCTGTGTAGAGGAATATAACGTTCTGTTTCGATGTGTTGCTCGGATAGAAGAGAATATTCATTTCTCTGTTTTGATTTTTTGTTCATTTGCATTTCGACCATTTGTCTAGATAGTTTGATCACTGTTCGGTATTACGCAAACGTTTTGGACGTTGTGTTTGTATTGGCGTTTATAGACAATTTTTACGTTGGTCTAACAAAGGGAGTAACCAACTATACCAACTATGACAACTCCGAACAGATGTGCTGTCTGCGAAGTACCGGCCTCTTTGAAGTGCATGGCCTGCAAACAGGTGTTCTACTGTGGCAAGGAGCACCAGAAAATACATTGGAAAAAAGGCCATAAGGCTGAGTGTAAATGTTACGAGGTGAAACATTCATATAATATCTGAAGAATAAAATGTTTGCATGTATTTGTGTTTATATACTTCATCTCTATATAGGTGGTAAAGAATGATGTACTGGGCAGACATTTAAGGGCGTCGAGAGACATCAAGCCCGGAGAAATAATATTGAGGGAGTCCCCCCTTATATATGGTCCTAAGGTGGCATGCTCACCACTGTGCCTGGGTTGTCATCGTACACTCCCCACGCCTGTGGGAAATAATTATTACAAATGTAGCAAATGTGGGTGGCCCATGTGTGGAACCGATTGCGAGCTATCAGAGCACCACGTAAACGAGTGTCAGCTTATGGAGTCAAGGAAATTCCGCGCAAAAATTGACTACAGCGTCCAGACTGGTCGGAAGGAATCGGCTTACTGTGTCATTCTACCATTGCGTTGCCTCTTACTAAAGACAAGGAAGCCTCTTGATTTTGAAAAGTTCTCGGAATTGGAAGATCACTTGAATGAGCGCAAGAATACACCTTTGTACAATGTTCTTCGGGCTAATTTGGTTACATTTGTCAAAACTATATTGGCGCTGAACGAAAGCGAAGATGAGATTTTGCGAGTTGCAGCCATTTTGGATACAAATGCCTTCGAAGTGCGTCAAACCGGAGAGAGTCGGAAAGTCAGGGCCATATACCCCATGGCTGCGATGTTTTCCCACGATTGCATATCGAACGCCCGCCACACATTCGATGAAAAGATGAATATTGTCTTCATCGCAAAAACTCCAATTGCCAAAGGTGAAATCATCTGTACATCATACACTCAGCCGCTATGGTCTTCAATAATGCGCCGCACGCATCTGTCTCAGGCCAAATGTTTCGACTGCACCTGTCGTCGTTGTCGCGACGAAACGGAGCTAAACACATTTGCGGGTTCAATAACATGTAGTCACTGCAAAGTGGGAAAGGTACGATAAGATTTCGCGTTCATTGGGAGGAGGGGCTATGAATTTTAATATTGCAACTGGTTCTTCCGTTTACACAGGTTGTTTCCACAAACCCAATGGACAATAATGCTGGTTGGAAGTGCCAGTTGTGTCCGCACCAGCTATCTGCCAAGCAAATACATCTGGGAAATGCGGCTATCCAAAAGGAGATTGAATCGTTAGATAAATCCTCTGTGAAGGCCTTCGAAGAGTTCCTGTACCGTTATCGTGTGACCTTACACGAAAAGAACACTCATATTTTGCAGGTTAAGTACGCTCTGTCACAGTTATACGGAAATGCACCCAACTTTTCAATACACGGTAACTAGAGTACAACAGCAAAGGCGGAAAATAATACCAAATATGTTCTTCATTATTTAGAACTGAACGATGCTGCGTTGAAAAGAAAAATAGAGCTTTGCCAAGAACTGTTGGAGATAGCAGATATCTTTGACGGTGGATGGAGCATCTTCCGTGGCAATTTACTTTTGGACCTGCAGGAGGCAATGGTGATACAGGCAAAACGTGAATTCCTATGTGGTTTACTGACCAGAGACGCTACGCAGGTTAGACGAATGATATTTTCGAGTATTTCAGTAGTGTGCTAAGCCTATGTATTATTCAGGAAAAACTGTTAGAATCGATGAACTTGTTGAAAGAAGCCATCGACATTATGAAGTTGGAGCCGGACATGAAGCAAGTGTTAAACGACCGAACACAACAGTTGGCCAAAGAACTGGAAGTGGATGAATAACAAATACATAAGTATATTGACTTGTAGAACTATGAATGTAATTGCTTTAATAAATGGAAAGATAGTAGACGTCTATAGAAGTTTCACAAAATGGAGGCATCTTTTGGTAGCAATGCCCAATGTTAATCGAGCATGGCGAAATTCTGATGAGCAAGACTGCTGTTAAAGCCCCATGTATTGTTGTTGGGAGAAGACTGTTGAAGAAGAAATTGTAAACTTACGTCTGGTAAGCCTTATAATACCGATCAATTTAACGAAGTCAAAAAGAATAGTAGAAGGGTTACAATTTTATTACATATAACCAACTTTATACAGGGATTTTTATTTCTCGAACTACAGCTTTGATAATGTCAGGGGTTTTGTAACACCAGTTTCTGATATCCTTGCTGACGCGACACCATGCCTCTCCATGCTTTGGCTCGGAGCTTATGCAGCGCTCGAGTACTTCCATCTGTTGCGCTTCTGTGCCATGGAGTAGTTCGAATTTATAGAAATATGCCCACGCATCACCCAAGTCAGGATCAATTTTGACCTAGGGATAAATGCGATTTAATAACTGAATTACTGACAAAAAGGGGTTTTTATACTTACTGTTCGGTTGAACCAGTCCCTACACTTTGAGAACTTATGTTCAGACCAAAAAAGTTTCGATACGGCTAAGAGGACATGAGGATCGTGCTCGCATTTTTTGAGGGCATCTACGGATTTAGTTTTTCGTTGCGGCTTAGATTCCATAAATATGGCTTCGGCCCATAACTCTCCCGAGTTTGGACACTCTTGTAATGCTCTTGCCATCATAGTGCTGGCAATTTCTTTTAAGTCAGCTCGCAGTTCCACTCGTATGGCCTCCAACCACAAAATTGATGTCTTTGGATTCCGTAAGCGAGCTCTTTCGAGGATGGAACGAGCTTTGGTTAGAACGCCTTTACGTTCTTCTAAATTCGCTGACAACAGCCACAATGGAATGGATGTGGGACATTTCTTAAGACCCAAATTGTAGGTATTTGCTGCATCTTCGAGACGTTCTTGCTGTTCCTCTATTTGTCCTTTCATCATCCAGAGTTTGGGGAAGTCGGGAAATACTTCTACAGCTTCTTCGAGCAGTCGAAGAGCATCCTCCAGCCTATCTAAAGCCCACTCAAGGCGGGCTGATTTCATCATAACTCTAGGTGTTGGGGCGGATCCTCGTGCTTTAGCCAAAAGACGACGAGCTCTTTCATATTCCGAATTTTCTGATTCTAATTTCACAGCAGCTAACCAAATATCTTCAGAATTTGGGTTGGCCTGAAAAGCTAATGAAAGAATAGCTCTAGCGGCAGGGACATCGCCAGCTAACCATTTAGATTTGGCGCCCATTAACCACAGCACTTCCGATTTCGGACAATGGGCAACGGCTCTCTGCAAAAGCGCTTCCAACGACTCACGGGTACCATGATTTTTTTCAAAATAAGCAGCGCGCAGCCAAATACTTTTTTTGGATGGGAAAGTCTGCAAAGCATGTGCATATACAGCTCTGGCACACTCAAATGCGTTTTCCTTAGCACACTGAAAAAGTAGAATACGATTTTAATAACCACGAATGGGCCAGAAATGCGGAATTTGACTGCTACTTACAAAATCGGCATCATCCATCCATGTTTGTTTGCGGTCTTCCTCCTCTACGCCTATGCCAATGACAGACTTAATAATTGCCTGGCAGCAGTGAACTGCACCCGATTTTTCCGCTTCAATTGCCTCTTGGAACCAGTGCTCGCGATTTATTTCTACACCATTTGCTGAAAGAGATGTAAGCGATCGATCTATTATTTTCTCAACCATATGGATGTTGCCATTAGCTTCCTCGAGCTTTGCAGCCGTTGTCCAAATTTGCCGATCTGTGGGAATATTTTCGCGTGCTTTGTTTAGAACTTTGCGAGCATTCTCGTACGTCTCCAAACGGGCTAGAGCCAACCAAAGTTCAACACTCGTGTTACAGCATTCAACAGCTCTTGATAGTAAGATTCGTGCGTCATCAGGATTCTCCAACTCGACAGCCGCCTTCCAGAGGCGAACTGAGTTAGGAATATGTTCAAGTGCTTTACGGTAAACACGCCGTTTAGCCTTTATTTCGGTTTCCAGATCAGCGGCCTTTATCCAAATTCTAACAGATGTGGGGATGTGTCGCGCAGCTTGGGCAATAACTGCCTTGGCCGTATCAATTGGCTGTAGTCTAGCGGCTTCCAACCAAAGATCTTCAGAATGGGGGTTTATCTCACAACCCCTCATAATTAGATTACGGGCCATTTGAACTTTACCGGTAACTTCCTCCAAACGGGCGGAGGCAATCCATGCTGGAGGGTGATTGGGATTTGTCTCTCGGACACTTTTTAAAAGTAACCGAGCCTTTTTAATATCGTTTATGTCCCCTCCATATGTGGGAATCATACTTTGTAAGTCCGTAAGATATCCTTTGGGGTCGACAACAGTCTGACCTGTTACAGAGTCAGACACCTGTGATAGCTTTACATTCATCAGGGTATTACGTGCTTGGCCAATTTTTCTCAAATCTAGATCTCCAGTGGGTGTTAACATTCCGGGGGTTGCCACTCCCGGCGTCATAGACGCCAATCCCGATGAAGGATCTATGGAAGATGAGGTTTCGCCACCTAGATTTCTTGCCAGAACGCTGTCCGGCAAAGGTGTGAACTTTTCTGCTCGAGGATTCCTTTGTTTTCTATTACGACTATCGCCGACTTCAGGTATGTTGGACCATTCCTCTGCCGTTACGGTTGCCAGTGACCTCTTTAAATCAGAAAACTGTTGTTGTATTTTTGGCCTACAAAATTAAAGACTTGCGAATATTTACACACGCTTAGCAATCTAAGTAACACCCTTACCTCTCCTGACGATATCGTTCCAAATCCTCTCGTAGTCTTCGGTCTCTGTATTCCTTCCTCTTCTCGTCCATACGCTTGTCAATGGAGTCATAAATAGCATCGGCTTCCTCATCATCTTTGTCGTACGGATCTTTAGAGAACAATGAGCCACTGTATCCACTAAATTCGTCGTAATTTGAGTCATTTAAATCCTCGTCCTCCTCATCTTCTTCATCTTTTTTCTTCCTTTTGGCAGCGGGTGGAGCATGACGATCGTCAGAAACATCGTTTGCGTCTCTTGCGGGTCCAATATCTGACCGTGTGGTAAAGCCAGTGGCACTAAATATAAATAGCTGGATAGAATGACATTCCAAAGTAAAGATATAATGCACAGTCTTACCCACGTCCTACACCAGCAACATATCCTAACGGAGCAGGCACACCCAGGAAATGCTTTTTGTTTCTATTGGCTATGACTGCTGCTGTTACATTTGACATTTTTAGATTTTTAGGAGTTAGAAAAATGTCAGTAAACGTTTGTAGTTAGTTTATTTAGTTTTTTAGTGTTTTTCGACACACACAACGCACCCCCTTATTTCACAAATTGGGACCAACAGATCGAAAAAGAAGGCATTCAGGGCTTAGCAGGTCGAAAGCAGACATGAGCTGGAGTTCACAAGGCCGAAAACCTGAATCCCTTGCAGGGTTTTTAAAATCGGCCCCACAAACAGCTGTTTAGAGATCCTTCAGGGCTTAGCAGGTCGAAAGCAGACATGAGCTGGAGTTCACAGAGTTCACCAGGTCGAAAACCTGAATCCCTTGCAGGGTTTTAAAAATCGGCCCCACAAACAGCTGTTTATAGATCCTTCAGGGCTTAGCAGGTCGAAAGCCAGACATGAGCTGGAGTTCACCAGATCGAAAACCTGAATCCCCTGCAGGGTTTTAAAAATCGGCCCCATCTAAACGTAAACAGTAAAGCCGAGGACCTATTTGGATGACGGCGACGATTAGATGCAGTCACCTTAAAATGGTAACGCTTTTCTATTAATAGGTGTGTTTACTAATTCATTTATTGTTAATGGATGCCTCAGATTGATGAAACTAATTTCCGGGTCCAATAAAATAACCCTAAATGTTACCAAACATGAAAATATGCATCCGATCGATCGTGATTAATATATTCGCGTAATGCTGTTATCTAATTTAAAATAATAGGGCATGTTTTAAAATAAAAATCAAATTTCAAATGCATTACCAAACATGGAAATAAACAAGAATCCAGCCCTTGTAGGTTTAAAATGTGATTCTCAGAGTAATTTTGTTTTGTTTATAAATTAAAGTCAATTTGGAAGATTATGAACCTATATTTCGCGATAATAATCGGTATGCGATGTTATGTTTCTATCATGAAAACATGAAATAAAACATATTTTCCATGCATTTTTATAAAAGAAACAAATGCGAAAGGAAAAGTCAAATGATAATTTTCATAAATGTAATGTTTTTCGTTTCATCGTTTCATTCTATCTCTGAAATGAAATTTCTCAGTTGACTTTTTTCCTTTTCGTACAGCTAAAACACAACTAATGTTCGCAACGGTATTTTATAAGAACGCCTGTTGCTTTAAGCACTCGTAAGAGAAGGAGCACATGTAGTGCGCATATGCAGTACTTCTCTGTTTTGACTTAACTATCTCTTAGTACTGCACATACCTACAATATACATGGGTCACTATTCGACGAGATTTCTTAGAAAATCACTAGAGAGAATAAGTATTTTTAAGAGAATTTCCAACCAGCCTTTGGCCCAGCAGTCTCATTTTTCAAATATAACTTGTTGAAAGTGCACCTAAATCGAATTCGGCATTTGATTAGGTCTCAGTTGAAATATATTGTCTTATTCTTGCTGGACCAATCAATAATTATTTGATATTGTTACGTTCTTGGATTTTACTTAATCCCGTGTAGACGTTGTTTTATTTCCCAATACAGCTCGTACCAAATAAAACGCGGGTTCTTTCGGATTACGATTATTACAATGATTTTATTCACACAACTTTACTTTGCACTTTACTTTACTCGACGGTTTCAATTCGCGATCTGATTCACAACTGACTAACTGCCTTTCCATTTCCCCTATTTATATGAGCCTCGCCTGTCGCTACAGAAGTTTCTAGACGATCTGGTAACGCCTAGATTACGAACAATCTACCAATGCAACGAACACATACAAACTTACATTGAGTGAACAATAACAACAACACATACAAACTTACATGGAGTGAACAATAACAACAACACATTCACAGGCGAGGGGGTAACAAAGAAAGAGGAATTAAGCGATCATCAATGATGACGTTTAACAAGAATTGTACGTCAGCAACAAAATAGAAAATGAAAGAGGAAATGGAAGGATGTAGAAAAATCTATACAGTAGTTGTTGTTGTGAAGTTATTCAAATAAACTGCGTAGTAGAAATGTACGTTACAATTCAAATTCTTAAATTAACGGAATTCATCTAAATTAACTTAAATCTAAAGTTATATTCGTAACATTGCCCCCCGCTTAAGCCTGTTCGTCCCGAATAGGCACAGTTCCCGTTCCGTAGGGGGTCAGCCGCTCCAAATGTACAACTTTCATCTTCGACCTGGGACTGTCGCTCCTCTGGATGCGATAAACGACGTCATTTATTTTCGTGACAATCTTGTAGGGTCCTTCCCAGTGCGTTTGTAATTTGGGGCATAGTCCTTTCTTTCGTTGTGGGTTGAACAATAGTACCAATTGCCCTTCTTGAAACCCATCGGTATTTGCCGCTCGATCGTACCTTGCCTTCATGCGGTTGCTAACCATTTTTATTCGATGTCGGACTGCATCGTGGACTTTACTAAAAGAGTTTTGACTGTCTTCATCTTGGTTCACATCGTCGTTTGGGGTAGCACCGAATATCAAATCGCCAGGTAGCTTTAATTCATTTCCGAATAGAACTTTGGCTGGGGTCCGGGATGTGGAATCATGAATGGCCGATCTATAAGCCAGTAAAAACTTGGGAATATGCTCATCCCAGTCTCGTTGGCCACTGTCCACCACTTTCCGTAGATGTTCTTCCAGGGTGCGATTGAATCTTTCCACCATGCCATCTGATTGTGGATGTAGGGGCGTCGTTCTGGTTTTCTTGATTCCGTAGGAGTCACACATTTCCTTGAAGATCGCTGATTCAAAATTCCTCCCTTGATCGGAATGAACCTCAGATGGAACACCATAGCGACAAATCCAATTTTTGCTGAACACATCCACAATTGTCCTGGCTTCTTGATTTGGGATAGCATAAACCTCTGGCCATTTACTGAAGTAATCCATGACCACTAAGACATACCGGTTCCCAGAGTCGCTTGTTGGGAACGGTCCAGCTACATCCATTGCGATTCTTTCAAAAGGGGCTCCTGAATTATACTGCTGCATGTAGCCTCGACTCTTCCGTGTTGGACCTTTAGCTCTTATGCACCTTTCACAATTGGCGATCCAGTCGGCAATGGATTTTTGACAGCCGACCCAGTAGAATCTCTGCTTTACCTTTTCAGCGGTTTTTGCTATGCCAAGATGTCCTCCACTTGGCCCATCGTGAAACTCCGACAAGACATCTCTTATTTTGGAGTCTGGGACGACGATCAAGTTCCGGTGAGATTTACCGTCCTCACATTCCCATTTGCGATATAGGCAACCATCTATTATAAGTAGACTGTCCCACTGGGCCCAATAGGATTTTAAAAGAGGGCTTTCGGAGGTAATTTCTTTGCGACTAGGTCGTTTGCCCGTTTCTATGGCCGAAATTACTTTGCCCAGAATGGGATCTCTTCGTTGTTCCGTCGACCAATCTTCACCCGACTCAAATTGCAATAGTCGGACATCAACGATATTCTCTTTATTCTCAGCCTTTGAGCAGTGCTTGCATTCTACTTTGCATGGCCGACGAGACAGGGCATCAGCATTACCGTGTTTTCCGTCTTTTCTGTGCTCGATTCTGAAGTCATAACTCTGGAGCCTCTCGATCCAACGGGCTAGTTGACCTTCCGGATTCTTAAACTGCAGCAACCATTGGAGAGCAGCGTGGTCGGTCCTCAGCAGGAAATGCTGGCCATATAGGTATTTGTGGAAGTGTTTAACGCACTCAAGGACAGCAAGCAGCTCTCTCCTCGTCACACAGTAATTCCTCTCAGGTTTCGACAATGTCCGGCTGTAGTACCCGATGACTTTTTCCTGTCCGTCGATTTCCTGGGAAAGGACGCCACCGATGCCGCACGCACTTGCGTCTGTGTCCAGGACAAACTTGCCGCCAGGTATAGGGTATGCCAAAATGGGGGCTCTGCATAGCATGTCTTTGAGCTTTCTGAAAGCCTCCTCCTGGTCGTTGCCCCACTGAAACCTCTGGCCTTTTTGCGTCAAACGGTGTAGACAGGCGGCGATGTTGGCAAAATTTTGGACAAATCGACGGTAGTATGTGCAGAGACCCAGAAAGCTTCGCAGCTCATGGAGATTTCGGGGCAGCGGCCAATCTCTGACGGCTTGAATTTTCTCCTTATCCGTCGATATGCCCTCCGGCGTCACGTGGTGCCCCAGGAACTTCACCTCTCGTTGGAAGAGACTGCACTTCTTTGGGTTCAGCTTGAGGCCTGAAGACGAAAGCTGCTGTAGAACATCCTTTAAGTTCTTGATGTGTTCGTCGAAGTTGCGTCCCATGACTATGATGTCATCCAGGTATATGAGGCACGACTTCCACTGCAGCCCTTTTAACACACGCTCCATCAGCCTTTCAAATGTAGCCGGGGCGTTGCAGAGTCCGAATGGCATGACATTGAACTGCCAGAGACCCCCATTTACGCCAAACGCTGTTTTCTCCTTATCTTTCTCGGCGATCTCTACTTGCCAGTACCCACTCTGCAGGTCGAGGGTGGAGAACCATGATGTCACGGCTAATGTGTCCAATGTGTCGTCAATTCTTGGGAGCGGATAGCTGTCTTTCTTGGTGACATCATTCAACTTTCTGTAGTCCACACAAAATCGGGTGCTTCCGTCTTTCTTCTTGACCAAGACCACTGGGGAGCACCATGGACTTGACGATGGTTCTATTACACCACTCTTTTCCATTTCACTTATCAGCTTCTGAACCTCGTCTCTTTTTGCCAGGGGAACACTTCTTGGAGGCTGTTTAATGGGTCTCGCGTCTGCTGTATTGATTTCATGCTTCACCACTGATGTTCTTCCTTGGTGCTCTTTTGTCAACGCAAAGGTAGAGGCATATTTCCATAATAGCTGCTTAGCCTTGCTCCTCTCGGAAGGTGATAATTGGTGTGTCCACTCTTTTATGTAGCCGTCGAGGTGCTTCTTCTCCATGGCAGCTGGCTTTTCGGTGCTAGTTTCCAAATTAACTACAGCTTCAGCTGGTGTGCATTGTCCAACATCGGAAAATTGGCAAATTTGCTCTTGCTTGTTTGACAGGTTCAAAACTCTAACAGGAATTAATCCGTCCTTGTTGCTTTTCACCAGGGCATTCGCTATTAGGATGTTACTGTTACTGTTTCTGTTTTCTGCTGGTTCCACCACCCACAACTTCTCGGCTCCACAATCTCCATTCATTGGTACCCATATTATTGCTTCGGCACAGGGCGGTATTATCTCTGGATGGTCCGTGGTCAGACGTCTAATGGGTGTACTTTCATCGTAGCCCAAGTTTAACGGAATTTCGACGTTAGACCAGGTCATCACACGTTCTTTCATATCCAGATTGATGCCAAAGGCAATCATAAAATCTGAGCCTATTATCACTTCGTCTACGATATCGGCAACTATAAACTCGTAATTCTCCGATTTATTGGCAATAGTTAGTCTCAGGGTAATCTTGCCGTGTACTGCCGCGGGCTCCCCCGTTGCTGTGCGCAGTCTGACTCCATTAAGTTGCGTTATTTTTCCCTTTACCAGATCTGATCTTACGATGGACTTTGATGCGCCAGTATCTAACGTCAGAACTCGCTTATCACCATTGATGTACCCAGTTGTTGTTAGGTTGTGACTTTCCTGTTGTACTATTGCTATGGAGATTTTGGGGCCATCGTCGATGGGAGCCAGTTCATGCCCCGCTGGACTGGCTCGATTTAGTTTAACTGTGACTCATTGGTGGACTGTTGGGCCATTCTTCTACCATCTTTCGTTGGAGGTGGTGACGATGACCTGGATCGTTTGCGCTTAGCTCTGCATTCGCGCGCAATATGACCTGCTTTATCGCAGTTGTAGCATCTAACCCTGGGCTTAGTCATCCCAACTAACTTTGTCTCTTCTATTACCCGCCTCATGGCGTCTTCGATCGAGTTAACGAGAGATTTGGGTTCGCAACCTTCGGTCTCCAGTTGGCGAATCTTGTGGGTCTGGGGCTTAACAACTATTCTTGCCGTCTCTTGGGCAAGGGCAAACGACACAGTTTCGGAAAATGATGCTTTTGGTGACGCATATGTTGCATACTTAATCTCAGGGTCACGTATGCCATTCACAAAGGTTTCGATTTTCATACGGTCCAGCAATGGGTGATCCTCTCCTGGATACGTCATTAGCACCAAACGTTCCACCTCAGCTGCAAAGTCTTGTAACGTCTCGTTTGCCCTCTGTACTCTTCCCCTTAATTCCATAAGGTAGATGTTTCGTTCATGTTCGCCACCGTACTTACGTTCCAGTGCAGCAATAACATCTTCATAGTTGTTTCTAGAAGCGACAGGAATACTCTGTATAACATCAGCAGCACTGCCCTTCAATGCCAGAAGTAGTGCAACCGCTTTGTCGCTGCCGTTCCACGAATTTCTAGAAGCCACTGTCTCGAACTGTAACTTGAAAACATTGAATGACGTAGAGCCGTCGAATACAGGAGGTTTGATTTTTAGTGTGTTATCAGGAACTCGCACCGGACCACCTTTGATTTCCAGTTCCGAAATTTTCTCCTCCAGATTTGTAACCCTATGGTCGTGGGACAGAAATTTCTCGTCAACCGACTGCACTTTCTTATCCAACTCTTTAATTTGGACCTCCACGGTTTCCATTCTCCTTCCAATAACTTCTGTAATGTACTCGAGTTTCTCGTTCGTTATTCTCGAATTTTCTTCGAACCTTCTGAAATTTTCCTCAAACATTTTGGCTAGCATATTTCTGAAATCGTCACCCCTGGCAGCTACTGACGAGACTTCCCCACCGTTGGATTCGCCCATTTCCGATAAATCCACTTCATCCTTACTGTCAAACTCATATGTATCGATGTTCATACCACGGCGCTCGAACTCATCCAACAGACGTTTTTGTAGTTCAGCCTTGTTGCCAGTAGAGGACAATTCCAATTTATTAAGTTCCTTCTTCAAGTCTTCCACTCGTAGATCCTTAAACTTCATCGTAGTATTATCGTAATCTCACTTCCGACACCAATTGTTACGTTCTTGGATTTTACTTAATCCCGTGTAGACGTTGTTTTATTTCCCAATACAGCTCGTACCAAATAAAACGCGGGTTCTTTCGGATTACGATTATTACAATGATTTTATTCACACAACTTTACTTTGCACTTTACTTTACTCGACGGTTTCAATTCGCGATCTGATTCACAACTGACTAACTGCCTTTCCATTTCCCCTATTTATATGAGCCTCGCCTGTCGCTACAGAAGTTTCTAGACGATCTGGTAACGCCTAGATTACGAACAATCTACCAATGCAACGAACACATACAAACTTACATTGAGTGAACAATAACAACAACACATACAAACTTACATGGAGTGAACAATAACAACAACACATTCACAGGCGAGGGGGTAACAAAGAAAGAGGAATTAAGCGATCATCAATGATGACGTTTAACAAGAATTGTACGTCAGCAACAAAATAGAAAATGAAAGAGGAAATGGAAGGATGTAGAAAAATCTATACAGTAGTTGTTGTTGTGAAGTTATTCAAATAAACTGCGTAGTAGAAATTTACGTTACAATTCAAATTCTTAAATTAACGGAATTCATCTAAATTAACTTAAATCTAAAGTTATATTCGTAACAATATAATAAATGTAATTAAGCCAAACGAACCTTTAATGATTTCAATCAGCCGAGATTCTGTCCTCGAGCGCGGTAGAGTTAGATAGAGAAAAGTGACAATACTAAGGTGGAGGGTATAAACTGGAAAACGAATAAATCCAAAATTGGAATAAAATTAATTTGTGTAATTTATTCGATTAGAATCTATGCCACTCGTTGGCCATTACAAATTTTCTACTACCTTGCTGCAGCTACCAACGATACACATTTTAATCTAGATGTGTGTCCCTGAAAATATCAATTCATCTGAAAATTACCATTGCTTTAACACAGGGTGGGTTAACGGGAGAAATGTTAAACATTCCCATTTATTTATCCTGTTATAGTGGCGTCCTTAATTTCTGTTTTTAAAAATTATCCTTGGGATTTGTGTTATGCAAAAAGTACGTCAAAGTGTTGCCGTAGATGGAGGTGCAAATTTAACCAGTGATATGTTGTGTGGCTTTGAATGTACTTTTCTACGTTTTAGAGTTATATGTCGAAGGAAAATGTATAAATGCTACCCTCAATAAATGCAAATACTTGATGTCCCTTTGATTAGGCCATGTGGAGTATTTCCATATGTACTTACTTATGTACACTGCTTCTTACTTGAGTAGCAGAGCCTGTTACAATCCAAAACATTAAGAGAATGATATTCTTTTGGTATATCTGAAAAGTAAAACTTTGTCATGGGCCAATTTCTCAGATATTATCTCCATACCTCTATCCAAGACAATGATAGTAATCATGTATTTACTCTAAGGTCCTTACTTTTGTAAATATAGGCTTTGTAGGACAGGAGAATAATTGATTTATTGTTGAAAAACATATAATTGATGCCACCCATGCGTACGAACCTATTATAAACTGTGAGCAAGAAACACGCACATATACGTTTGTTAATATATGATTATGCGAAGGAAGTTTATTGGATCGGCTACCACGTCAGAAGGCACAAAATACTAATCAAATAGTTCATCGTTCTGCAAAACGGAGTAGGAATTTTATCCTGTTTTCACCTGCACTGGGGTGAATTTACCAAAGTATGTGTGAAATTTTAGTTTCCTGACAACTAAACAAATTCAATCATTCAACGAATCCAACCTTCCGACAGTTTGACTCTCTGCGCGGGTACAAATATATTGATTATACAAAGCAGCCCCTTTTAACACAGGCAGTCCTACGGTATGGCGCAAGAAAAATATATTTCATCTAGCCGTAACTAGCCGTAAGACTGATGGTGTAAAAATAATATCTACTCATACTTAGTATGGACACGTAGTTATGTACAAAGTACATTTTACGATTTCGCAAATCGAGTGGATTCAATTTCGCGCAAGTAAACATGCTTTTGATGAATTGGTGGGTGCGCCACCCAAAACTAGTGGATAAAATATCCGTAAAATGAAACCCGACGACAGCAGGAAATTAATGAATGAGGCCAATTTATGAAAAAGGTTTAAAATTCAATTTTTTTACTGGAGCGTGAGTTCTAAAATATCAAATTTACGGGTTCTAAGCAAGTCATTGTTGAAATATTTCATTAGGTTCGCGATTTGTTTGTTTTGTATTTATACCGGAAACACAAGCTTGTATTTGACATTTCAATACTTGCCCAGAGGTTTTTTCGAATGATTGAGTAGAATTTGTTTCGCGACATCCATTGGTAGGCTTTGTCTTATATAGAAACTATACTAAGTTGCCGATTCTGAAACATAATTGATTTGTAAAATATGTAGTGTTCAACCGTATGGGGCTGAAATAGCTGGGCGGTCTTCCTCAATGTTTCAATGTCAATTTCTTCCAGCAGAAAGCTAAAAAAAAAAATTAAAAACAACCCGCCCCACCTGAAACTTAATTTAGAAACATGTCTGCTAAACACATTCTACATACGTCATCATTCATAAACACGTGACACGGAATTGAGTTTTGTCAGCCGAATTCCAAAATTGCACCATGTTGCCCCGATATCCCTATGGCCGACAACGTAACCTAGCCTATGGCCGACCTCCCTTAATTCCATTGGATACAAATAAGCCCGGCTTTACAATTTGTATTTAATTTAAATTTTAAGGGTACGAATGAATGTGCTCGATGTTTTTCTCTTAATGCAATAGATAATTTGATAAATATACAGTAATGATCATATGTGCATGTAATGTGTGTGTGTGTGAGTGTTTGCTCTGCTACATAAGTAATAAGTACATATACATTCATATGTATATCACAATCGGAATTCCTTGTTGCCTGTCCATTTATCGGCATTCAATTTGTCAGTTAGACTGGCGGTGATTTGTAGGCGTTCTGCACCAGGAGCGACACCAGCACCATTTCCACCAAAATTAAGAGATTGATTATTGCTGTAGGTGGGAGGGACATGTCAGGGAGGAGTTAGAGGGAATACATTAATAATCATCGAACGGCCAGAAGAAATGGTGGGGCGGGGAAGCCGCTCCCAATGGACTTACTTTGCTTGTATATTGTGTGGTTGATGGGATAATAGCCGCCCAGCTCGATGTGATTCAATTGAGTGTCCAGCAGCATGTATTGCAATTTGCATAACAGAAGGATTAGTTGGAGGCAAAACATCTTCTTCTGCAATGAACAAAAGCCAAAGGGTTTAGCCGCAATGGAGAATGGGACGACTACCTACCATTAATCCATATTCGGAATGAATGGAGTTTACCATGCGTACAACGATGTTCAGCGCCCATATACCAATAAGGATGGAGCTGACCAGGAAGGGTATGAAGTACATGTTGACACTGTGGTACAGATCCTGCAAAGATCACAAGTACATGTGTAAGAGTGGAGGGCGAAATTGCACAAAGAGCTTTGGTACAGGTCCAAGGATTGCCTGTGATTCAACTCAGAATAGGTATCTGTACCTTTTCCCGGTAGTAGATGAGGTTCAGCACCAACATGATGCAGCCTTGAACAATGGGCATCTGCCACACCATGTATCGCAGCAGGCAGAGCTTAGTTTTGGATGGCATCAGCGCTGGCAGACACAGGCAGCAACAGCAGCAGGGGGGAGTACTTATCGCGACCGCTGCTCCGTCGTTCTCTTTCGCATAGGTCAGTTCAGAACCCACGTAGCGGAAGCACAATTGTCGAAACACCACTGCACCAATGGTAAAGCAGATATGCATTACGGTGTGGCATACTAGCCAACCCTTTGGCAGCATGATGGTGGTGAAAGCTGCGCCACAGATTATGGGATACAGCGAACACATGATTATGGACGGGACGCGAGTGCAGGGGTCACAGCTGTTGCGAATCTTCGACACCGTATGGGAGAATATAGCTATGTTGAGTAGCACCAGCAGAGAACCGACGAACATCGAAAGGGCTATGAATGGCGTGAGATCTGCAATAGAATAAATTGGAATCAGATCGAAGAAGGAAACGAAGTCGATGTTCAGGCACAAAATCGATTGGGGAGCAAAGTTCCTTGATGTGACCTCTGTACCTTGATGTAGTGCCAGCACATTCCGGATACTTACTCTGATAGTAGGCACTTAAAGTCGGATGTATGAAAATGTTGTGTTGATCTTCTTCCGTGGAAGCATTACTTTCTGCGTGTGTCACATGCATGATTACGTTAATTTCCTCCAACCCCTCTGTCGAGGGGTACGAATAATCTGAAAAGGTACAAGGTACAATACAATGAACATTCCATTAGAATCGCACCATGAAATGGGAACATAAAAGCCGAAACTTTCAAGGAAACAAGAAAGCATTCACATTGTCAGAAAATTGTGGATATCTCCCACCACAATTCACACATCGAAACAACCATTTCAGGCATTATGCATGTCGTCTTACCAACCAACTTTTACCAAGTGGCTACAGAGGGTACGGTTAAAACGGGCCTCACAGAAATAAGAAAGACCCCATGTTTTGTTTTGTTTTTTTGATATAACTCCGAATGTGGTATCAGATTTGCACCAAGAGTGCCACATTATTGAATTGTTGCCAAACTTGAATTGATCGCGAAGATGGTCAATATCGATCGGTCCAGTGCTTCTGGTGTCTCACACGATTTGGTGAAAATTAATAAATCATGTGTGAAGCGAACCGAGTCCACGATTTAACCCCAAATATGTCATACCGCAATATTTGAATCCGCCCTCCTGCTCCTTACTCTCGCATATGAATTTCCTGAGTTAATCTTAGTTGAAAAGTAACCAGGCGTAACTAACACAAAGTACAAATACTTTTGAATTCAGTTCGAGGGCAAAGATTCCGCAGCAAGTGGTTAGACCGTTATGCTGTGGACGTTTAAGAGTTGCTGTGAATATCCTTCTTCGATTATTTTACAATCGGTTTGCAGTCTTCTTGTCAGTGCCATCGAAATTCCATTCCGGCCGTCAAAAGAAATAAAAATATGGACAAGCGGTTCATCTGAAAGCAACAACAAAATCTGTTGAAACCGGTTTGTGTATGGCAATGTTGAAGCGATGGTCCATAAAACGCCGCTCTGGAGGTTGCAGTTTAATTACTGCGCATCAACAACAAATTCCCGTAGACGAAGATGCGACCTTGGCTTGGTTTGGCATTGCTGTTGTGGTTTGACAGCAGATGAGATAACTTAACTCAGCACGGCTCATTAAATTGGGGAACTCTTTCGATATGAGTTGCGTATTTTAACACGTCTGTTCACGATTGCCTCCCAGTACGTACGTGTATTCGTCGGCGCGACAAGCCAAATGTATGTCTGTGAATGCCAAACAACACTCAATTACGAAGATAAAATAGAGCACAGTAATAAGCCTGGTTTAACCTTGCAAGGGAATTAATTTGTAACGCATGTAGACCATAAACTGAAGGACCACTTTGGCTAACAAGCTGTTGGATATATTTTGGTGCTATTTAACTCCAAAGTGTCTACAACCACCACCCACCAACAGAAAGAAATTGGAAAGCCAAAAACAACAAATTGTTTCTGACAAGAACTGCCGTTTGATTTCATTGATTATCAGATATTTAACAAAAAGAACTCTAATGGGCATGGGGCGGGCCTTGTTAGGAAACATTGTTTTTTTGTCACGTGCAGATCGGTTTACATTTTAATCGCAATTGGCCAGTGATACCAGGGAAGCGAAAAACCCTTTTAATTGGACAAAATGGACACCGAACAATAAAAGCCCAAGGATCACACACGCACACACACTTCGATGGGTAATTATGTGGCCGGAGTGGTTAGCAATCAACAGCCACTCGAACGAAAGACATCCACAAGATGATGCATTGGAATCTCACAAATTGAAACATGCCTTGCAGTTCAACCTATCTGGTAAGCCATGTAAAGATAATGTACCGTTGGAGAGATTTTTATGCAAGACAAGGATTGAGTTGATCCCGGGAAGGCAATAAACTATTCTCGGCGCTTTGTCTTGAATTCTCTTTCGATTTTATTTGGGGGTAATATGACCGTACACAAAATGTTACCATGATGGGGAAGGTCAGTATTTTTGTACGGTACATCGTACAGCAGGAGCCCTAGGTTAGAAAAATGCTGAAATAAGTATGTTAACGAATTCTGTAAATTCTCATAATACTGCCCCATATCAGTCAGATTCGAGCTTTTACAGATAATGGAAAATTTCTGGGAATCAAAAGGGCATTTCAGAAGCGAGTCAAGAAGCCCAAGAGAAGCGCATGTCGACATATCTTAGCCATATTTTGGTTGGTCATCTATTTAAGAATGTTTGTGGAACTATTTAAAGTACAACAGGCGTGTTAACGCGTATTAAACACCCAATTCACGTCAGGAACTGGGATGGTTGTAACTTGCCTCTAGTCTCACTTAATCATAGAAGTTAATCCGTGTACCCAATATAGGTGTATCCATGCTTTTTTATTGTCATTATTTCAAGGCGTGTCTTTAACTTTAAGCGTGCAGCACGTTCTGAGACTCACGCAACTCGCCCAGACCACCGTTCAGAATAGTTTTTTATATCCACCCCGTACGAATGTTAATAGATGTTTGCCTCGACAAATTGATACCTTGATTGTTTGGACGTCCAATTGAAGGGTCGTATCTATTTTCACATGCCTATAATAGTTGCTCGGTACTTCGTCATTCACATCCTAGGTACTTTACTGGCACAACATCTTAAAGGCTCACTCAAATGTTGGCTGACGATTTTCAGATGACAACTAGGCGTTATTTCCGCATGCACGTTTGAACGTACATAGGTACCTATATTTGTTTGTATGCTACCGGCTCTAGTATTAGCATTCCGACAGACATACGCGTGTGGTTATTCGTTTTGTTGGCACAAACATACATACGTATGTTCACATAGTTCACATATTACGTACAACATTATGACGTATGCGACAGACAGAGACCAAACTTGTTGGCACGTCTCAGGGGGTGCATGGCCAATGGCTATTTGTAAATCTCAATCTATGTGTCGGTGTGTGTGTGTGTTTGTGTGTGAGTCCATTGGTGTGCAAGTGCTTTATTTTCGTCAATGTGAAATATTTTTGGCAAAATCGAGAGAATGCAAACGTCAGGTTCGCAATTGCTACATTGAAGACATTTGTCATCGTTGCTATGACAATGGAAAAGCTGAACAAGAAGCTGTGGCTTGGGACACGGCAACGGGTGTTGTTCGTTCAGCTTCAGTATGCCAGTGTTGCGTTTGACAACATCGTTTTCACATTTGGGCTAACACGATGTACATATCGAGGCTTTGGAAAAATGGAAACTTGGATTTGTCTGCCTAGCATTACATAACTTTGCTCAAGCCAACGCTACCGACAACGCTCTATGCTCTGTTGTAAACATAAACCAGTTTTCATTTGGGTCACCAGTGTTTTCTTGAAAATCGGAGAAGACAAAAACGCGTTTGTTATACTGGCGTTGACTAGCTGCTTTCAACGTAATTGCAGATTTCTGAGGTTTTTGTATTTACCCGTCCAATTTGGGGAGCTCATGCTCTCCTGAGATTTTCTGGTGTTTGTTTTTTGATGTTGTTTGTTTTGAATTTATTAACGCGCCCACGTTTCGCAAGACTCTCGGGGTACAAAAAGAAATCGGCGTACGGCGACCACTTCCAACGAGAAACCAAATGCAACTGATGTGTTGTGGTACTGAAGACAGCAGATGACGGCCGGCTGTGTTGTTGAGAGAGTGCGATCATGGTATGAACATGATTGTCGGTTGGAGCATTGACTGGCTGATCGTATTCTTGAACATTTAGACGCTCTCGCTCTCTTGCCGTTTTGCGTCAGGGTTGGAACTTGTTTGTTTTTTTTTTTGCCTATGTTCACATTTCAATTCATTTTAGAATCGAATCTCAAAACAATCTTCAATTCGCTACTAATAAACTACTGAATTCAATACAACAATTTGAAGCAGTTATAATCCTCCTCGTTTAGTGAAAAGGAAAGACTCTCCTACCACTACTTATACACCAAAGATTTTGGGCAACACCAATTTACAGCCTTGCAGCCGACCACCATGCAGGTGTGCAAAGAAGAAAATATTGGGCAAATTATTGAGTTGTAGGTTCTTCAGTAATCGTATGTAAATTGCCGACAAAATTACTGCCGAGTATGCATGAAATCCAAAGAACGTGCTCTTTATGCGCTCACTGTGTTCTTTTCCCATCTCTTTTTTTAGGCAATTATTTGGATTTATACATTATCCTCTGGGTAACTTAAACCATGTTGAACTCCATTAGTACCAGAGACGTCGACGCCATTCTTCAGAGGTTCTTGCAAATCAGCACATATATGCATGTGTGTAGCATGACATTAAATATTTGGGTCAAAAGGTTCCAAGGAAATTATTTTCTTTATCTGGCCTAGTGTTAACCATTCTACTTTGAAAAGCATACACATCTCGAAAAGTTTTGATGGTCGCCAGCACACTTTCATCGGCCATTGGCTGGAAACGACACCCCAGTTCGATTTCTGTGCTAGCACAACAATCGCATTGTCTTTTGTTGCTCTTGACGACAGCTTTCAAAACGATTGCGGTTGGAAGCTTTCATACGTGTTTCATGGAACGAATCAGGGAAAAGGCACCGTCTTCCTTTTCCTTTTGTTCGAACCCACATTCAATGGAACGGGAACCCACATTCAATGGAAATGCATAAATCCGAAAAGAAAACAGAAATCTTTGTTGAGTGTTTACATTGTTACTTAGGTTAGCGTGGCAAATACAGCTGTGTCCGACGGTTGATGTATATCTCCTAGTATGTACATGCATGCACATATCTACATATTGCGTAGTTTATTCGTCCAGACACACATGTGAACATGTGTATATAAAGATACCGTGTGTACTTTTAAGTGTCCCAAACTGGCCATTTCAGGAAAAAAAGAGTCGTAAATTGAAATCGAAAATGATTGAAATCGTTAGTTTTAAGAACCATCGATGGCCAGCAAAGCATCTAGCATTTGTCCACAGATACCACTCCGCTGTATTAAAATGCTCAACGTTTACACAATTCTAAGGTAATGTGTTTTTGTTGTAAACATTATGTCTTAAATATGATCCATATTTTCTCTTGCTAAAATCTTCATTTGAAATTTGTCCGCCTCATGGGACATCTCATTGGAGGAGGTCAAAAACGAGCCTCATTAATAAATAGTTTTGCAAACCGAAATCAATATGTGTCCATGTTTTAGTTAGTCCCCAAATGCAGTTCAGTCTGGTTTTAAGTTCTTCAACCAATTTGGCTGTAACTTGCCCTGTATTTCCAAAAAAAAACTAAAGAACAAATTATAAGCCCAGTTCGTTAGTGGAATTTGTTGATGAAATGAAATGTCTTGGTATTATAATTGATCGGAAGTTAGACTTTAAGACACACATTGATACCTTGTTTTGTCGCATAAGATTTCAGCTGCGGAGGCTGTATTGTCTTAACGCGTATTTGCCTTTTCATGCTGTTGTCACAGGTAAATTATTGTCTGGAGGTAGTCTCCGGCACTACTTCTTCTCAAATGCAACGTATCCGTAGGGCAGTAAATTCGATTGTTCGTTACATGTATGGCTTGCGTCGCGGTGATCACTTTTCTTGTTTTGTTAATGATCTCCTGGGATTGCCATTTAGCAGCTACGTTGATCTTCGTATTCTTCAATTTCATTACAGTGTTATGTGCAATTTTGACTCACCTCTTCGTGAAACTTTGTGTTTTGTAGATCATCTCGAAATCCTCAATTGTTGTGTCCAAGGTTTTCTTCCTCCATTGGTGAGAGATCCTTTGTGGTTAGGGCGGTGAGATTGCGGAATCATCTTCCTTTGGCCTTACGTACTTTTGCCTATACCAATTATCCGTTTAGGTTTAAAGTAATTGAGTACCTTCGCCTAAATATATAGACTATGTTTTTGTAGAGGTTGCGTCGGTTTATTATGGGTTTTTCTTTTTGTTGGGCTGTTATAATTTAATTTAGGGTGTTATAATGTAATTTACTATTTATACTCTGTTTAGTGAGTAATAAAATACTTCTGTCTTATTTTTAGCTCGTTTCTGCTACATTTTTCCACTGCTCTACCAGACTATTGTTTAGTTGGTGATGGTGAATCGAGGTGTAGGGTTCGAGTTTCTCGTGAATTTTTAAGATAAATTATTAGGTTTAATATGTTATTTGTTAAGTTTGAATTAATCATTGAATTTGTATTATATTAGGGTATTGTAGCCCTGTGGGCTTATTTATATTTCTTTGTAAGGTAAATAAATGAAATGAAATGAAATGAAAAATGAAACGAAATGAAAAGTTCTTTTATATTCATAAATAAAAAAATAAAATATGAAAACACGGCACTGATGACCAAAGAAGGAAACAATATTGTGTTACGTGGGTCGAATTT